GACCCCTCCGGTGGTCCCGTCGTTGCCCACAGTTCCACCTCCCTTCCCTGTCCGGCGGTTCCTTCGGGCACTCTCACAGGTCTGCATATCCCCTCGTTCTCCAGGAACCTAGTTGGTGTCGGCTGCCTCCAGGACCTTGGCGTCACCACTACGTTCCCTGGTCACGAGCGGTATGCTGTCTGTACCGAGGCCGCCACTGGTGCCCCCCTTACCACTTTCCCCCGGGACCCGGTGTCCGGCCTGTTCACACTTGACACCGCGCCGTCCCCGGCTGGGTCTTCCCCCCGGTAGCTGCGTCCACCCAGGTTGCAGCCGCGTGCTCCTGTCGGTCCCTCACTCACCCGACTCTCCTTTGGCACCACCGCCTTGGTCACCCTGCACTCCCACGTCTGCGTCACATGTCCCAGCACGGTCTCGTCCTTGGTCTCCCCGGTTCGTTCCCCGAGTTTCCCTCCTCCCCCGCCCCACCGTGCACGCCTTGTGTCGAGGGCCGGCTCCGCCGTGCCCCTCACTCCTCCTCTTTTCCCCCTACCACCGCACCACTGCAGACTCTGCACATGGACGTCTGGGGCCCAGCCCCGGTCCATGGGCCGCGTCGCGAGCGCTTCTTCCTAGTGCTTGTCGACGACTTCACACGCTACACCACCGTCTTCCCCCTGGAGCGGAAGGCCGACGTGCCTGACGTTCTCATCCCCTGGCTTGTCTCTGCTCGTGTCCACCGCGGTCTCCCTGCCTTGCGCCTTCACTCCGACCGGGGTGGCGAGTTTGCCTCAGGTGTCCTTGGTCGCTTCTGTCGTGCGGAGGGCATCACCCAGACGTTTACCCTGCCGGACTCCCCGCAGCAGAATGGGGTCGCTGAGCGACGCATCGGTTTGGTCATGGAGGTGGCTCGCACCTCCATGATCCACGCCGGTGCACCCCATTTTCTGTGGCCGTTCGCCGTGCGCTACGCCGCTCACCAGCTTAACCTGTGGCCGCACCCCCAGCGGCCGCAGGTTTCGCCGACCCTTCTGTGGACCGGGTCCCCTGGTGACGCGTCTGCGTTCCGCGTCTGGGGCTGCCTTGCTCACGTTCGTGCCTCTGGCACGGACAAGCTCACTGCCCGCACCCTCCCCTGCGTCTTCCTCGGTTTCCCCCTTGACGCGTCCGACTGGCACTTCTACCACCCGCCGTCTCACCGCTTCTTTCACTCTCGCGACGTCACCTTTGACGAGTCCGTCTCCTTCTACCGCCGCTTTCCCCACCGTGGTCCCCCGGTTACTCCCCCCTTTTCCTGGTTCCTCCCTCCCTGGTGGTCCCTGCCCCTCCCCCCCCCCGCCCCCCCGTCCGGCCCCCTCTGGTGTGTCTCACGTCACCCCCCTCCCGTCGGTCGTCCCGGTCGACGAGTCTTCTGACTCTGGTAGTCCTCCGGCGCAGTCCTCGCCGTCTGTCCCTCCCCCGGTGTCTCCTCCTCCACCGCCTCCGCAGCCGCCGTCGCCGCAGCTGCTGCAGCCGTCGTCTCCACCGCCGCCGCCGTTGCAGCCGTCGTCTCCGCCGCCGCCGCCGTCGCAGCCGTCGCTGCAGCCGCCGCCGCCGCCGCCGCCGTCGTCGCTGCCGCCGTTTGTGGACTCTGGGGGTGTCCCTTCTGGGGGTGCCGGTGTGGAGGGTTCGGGAGGTAGCCGTCGCGCAGCTTGTGGCCCTGGCGTTGGTGTTGTGTCGCCGCAGCAGCAGTCCCCGCCTGTGTCCGCCCTCCGTCTGCTCGGCCTTCCGTCTCCTGACCCTGCGCCTGTTCCTCTCCTGCCGTCTCCCCCTCTTCCCGTCTACGGCCCCGTGTTCCCTCTGCCAGACTCGTCCCCGGCTCGTCTTCCCCCTCGTTCCCCTCCTGTGTCCCCTCCTCTGTCTCCTGACCTGACGCCGCCCTCACACGTCTGGTCTCGCCGCCCCTCTCGTGCTCGTCCTGTCTCACCTGTCCCGCGCTCTCACCCTATGTTGCTCCGTTCCCACGCGTCTCGACCTCCCCTCCTCCCGTCTCCTCCTCCGTCTTCTCTTGTCGTTGCGTCTCCTCCTCTGTCCGACTTCTTTCGTGCCGCTCGTCCTCTTGTTCCTCGGGTCCTTGCCTCTCTCGTTACCGACCCGTCTGTTCCCGTGTCGAGTCGTGACGCCCTCGTCGCTGCGGTCGCTGACTTCGCCTCTACCCGCCGCCTTGACTACGCCACCGCTCTGGTCTCTCACCCTGCCTGTCCTCCGTCTGTCGGGGGTGCTCCTGCCCTCGGCAGTGACGTCCTGGAGGACCGCCAGTTTGAGCTTGCTTTCCTGTCCGAGGCTGCTCCCCATCTCTGTTCCATGCTGCTAGTCCCTGAGGGTGACCCAGACGCTTTCGACATCCCGACCCCTCGTACTTACGCTGAGGCGGTTTCGGGACCCTGGGCCTCTCAGTGGATAGCTGCCATGGAGCAGGAGATGGCATCTTGGAGATCCACCGGCACCTTCGTCGACGCAGTTCCCCCACCTGGGGTGAACGTGGTCGATGGCCGTTGGCTCTTCAAGGTGAAGCGCCCTCCTGGAGAGCCGCCAGTTTTCAAGGCGCGCTACGTGGCTAGAGGCTTCAGTCAGCGCGAGGGGGTGGACTTCTTTCAGACTTTCGCTCCTACCCCGAAGATGACTACTCTTCGGGTGCTGCTACACGTAGCGGCTCAGCGTGACTACGAGCTTCACTCCCTCGACTTCTCCACTGCCTTTCTTCAGGGCAGCCTTCACGAGCAGGTCTACCTGCGTCGCCCTCAGGGCTTTACTGGCACCTTCCCCCCTGGGACCCAGTGGCTTCTGCGGCGGCCAGTCTACGGCCTGCGCCAGGCGCCTCGTGAGTGGCACGACACTTTGCGTGCTACCCTTGCTGACCTGCAGTTCTTTCCGTCCTCTGCAGACCCCTCGCTCTTCGTTCGTGCTGGCTCGACTCCGTTCTACATCCTCGTCTACGTAGACGACCTGGTCTTTGCCACTGCTGACAGGGACGCACTGGCCTCCGTGAAGGCAGAGCTGCTGAAGAGACACACCTGCACTGACCTTGGAGAGCTGCGCCGTTACCTTGGCTTGCAGATCTCCAGGGACAGAGCCGCGCGCACCATCACCCTAACTCAGTCACACTTGGTGCGCCAGGTCCTTCAGAGGTTCGGCCTTCAGTTCTCCTCCGCACAGCCCACCCCTCTTCCTCTGGACCACAGACTCTCCGCTCCAGTTCCTGAGGAGTCGGTAGATCCCAGTGGTCCTTACGCTGAGCTAGTGGGTTGCCTCATGTACCTGATGACTTGCACTCGCCCAGATCTCGCATACCCTCTCAGCATCCTGGCTCGTTTCGTGGCCACAGGCAGGCACCGACCTCAGCACTGGTCTGCCGCTAAGAGGGTTTTGCGTTATCTTGCAAGTACATCGGGCATGGGGTTAGTGCTAGGCGGACGCAGGCCAGTGGTCCTTACTGGACACACAGACGCTTCTTGGGCAGACGACGCCGAGACGCTCAGGTCTTCCCAGGGCTACTGCTTTAGCCTTGGTTCAGGTGTTGTCTCGTGGAGAGCTACCCGCTCTTCGTCTGTTGCCCAGTCCAGCTGTGAGGCCGAGATCTACGCCGGTGCCATGGCGGCACAGGAGCTCCGCTGGCTGACCTTCTTGCTCACTGACTTAGGTGAGCGGCCTAGCTCTGCCCCGGTCCTGTACGCTGACAACAGGGCCATGATCCTCCTGTGTCAGGAGCCTCGACTCGAGGGCAGAGCGAAGCACATCCAGCTGCGGTACTTCCTCCTGCGTGAGCTACAGCAGCGTCGCCAGGCTCGCGTAGTACACTTAGCCTCTGGTGCCAACACAGCTGATATCTTTACGAAGGCGCTTGCGCCTAAAGATCATCAGCGGCACTGTGTACAGCTTGGTCTGGTTCCTGTAGTCTCTCACTTACTCGGGCCTTGACTCTGTACTGTCCTATATATCTGTGTGTACACTCAGACTGGACTTGTGTCCTCTTACAGTGGTTGGACTAGTAGTGCCGCCCTGTACTAGTTCTTGCCTTGCGTGTACTCCTTCTGACTGGTCTTTTAGACCCTTGTCTCAGAGGCTGGACTAGTAGTGCCACCCTGAGCTGCTTGTCTAGAACATTCCCCTATGCAGTCCAGGGGGTGTGTCAAACATGTTTAGTTATCATGCTTGTATAGACTGTATAGGGTCATCTTCTAGAGAGTACAACAGTTAGGTATATGTTTGTGTACTCTCTCTCTCTATTCATAAATTTCACTGTTTGATATAACCCACCCATTGTTTTTTGCGAGCTTCTTGAGCGAGCAGCTGCCAAGCCAAGACGTCAATACGGGTGAGCTTGTGGATTGTGGCCACTACATGTGGGTTTGGTGAGCGATCTTGGCTCAAACCCCAAGGTGGTTGAGCATGTGATGTGAGCACACTAAATTTTCAGTGCTTATTTTGGAGTAGTTGCATCATACCCAATGTAGAAAGAAAAATATCATGTTGTAGGCTAAGGTTCACAATTTGCAGATGGATCCTCTTGAAGCCTATAATTTGTATAAAACACGTTGTCTTGCACATTCTCGTTTCCTAAAGAACCACTCTGTAAGGCACCAAATCTGCACACCAAAGAGCAGGCGCACAGGCGCGCACCGCATTGGGGCAGTGTCCCCCTTCTCCCGCCGAACCGTTTTCCCCAGGTGCACCCGCCAAGGCCTCCTGTCCAGCTGAACCGCCTCTTTCGTGGTCTTGGCATCAGCGCAGCCCCGCCCGCTGGTCAACAACCACCCGCCGACGCAATCATCGTTGTCATCCGCCTTTCTGATTCCCCTTTCCTGGCTGTCTAGCTGTTCCTCTTCCCCCAACCTCCAGCAATCGCCACGCTTGCCAGACTAGCGCGGAAAGGGTTGCTTTGTGGTACAGTGCACCGTGCGGGGAGCACTGTTCACAGCACAACCCCCCCCCACACACACAGCATTGCAATCGCAAGGACGGATTTTCCCCGCTTTGCTGGCAGGGCAAAGTCCGGATTAGGGCTGTCCTTAGTATCTGCTTGTTATGTACGCTTCGCACGGCTTCGAGTTCGTTTCCTGGCGTTGCGTCAGTCGGACGTCCCTCCTTACCCTAGAAGACACCATGCGTTTTCGTGAATATATTCCCGAGAGCTCACTTACCTACTTTCTAGGGTTCCGACATACCCTTTTTTTCACGTCTCGACGACGATAGTAAATCCCGCATAACGCAATTACATTTCCCTTTTCCGCGGTTAGCAGCAGGAACAAGGCCATTCACCTGATATTCTGAGAATTCTAAAAAATCACCTGGAACAAGGTCGTCTACCTAGCTCATTTTTGCCAGGAGCGTCGTCCACTCGCTCGGTCCCCGTTTTTAAATCTGGCGTGTGTGGTTGGTGGCCGATTGCAGTCTGAGTGTGAAGCGGTGGCTCGCTATTGTACCGAAGCCAGTAAGGCCCGGTGCTCATCGACTTAGGAGCGAGCTGAGAGACGCGAGACGAGGTGAAATGTGAAACGACGAAAGATTCTGAGACGGCGTGAAGATGCTGAGACAAGAGGGGTGGTGAGACAAGAGGGGTGGCGAGACAAGAGGGGTGGCGAGGCAAGAGGGGTGGCGAGGCAAGAGGGGTGGCGAGGCAAGAGGGGTGGCGAGGCAAGAGGGGTGGCGAGGCAAGAGGGGTGGCGAGGCAAGAGGGGTGATTCGACGGGACTGGACTGGACGGAATATAGCGACACGGGAGAGGGGGGTGGGCGGGGGGGGGGGGGGGGGGTGCGGGTGTGGAGGAGAAAGAGAGACCGCGAAGAAGAGGTGGTGTACGAGCTGCAAAAAACCAAGGCAGACTAGCATTAGGGAAAAATCTAAGACCAAGGATACGTAAGATGCGCAGGGGAGGCACTAGCGGCTTCGTGAAAGCGGCGTAAGAGCGAGATACAGAGTCAGAGCGAGAGAAATTAGGTCAGAAAGTTAAGAGGGAGGCGAGCAGAGGGGTTTGGGAGCGGGAGGCGGTGCGAGGCCAGGTGACGGTTCTCCGTGTGATAGTAGCTTCGTTTGGTGTGATAGAGTCGACTCAAAACGAATCTACTATCAGAGGGAGGCGAGCAGAGCGGCGTGAGAGCGGCGGTGCGTGGCCAGGAGAGGGATCCGCTGGAGATGGAGCGACACGAGGGCGAGGGGGAGAGGGGAGAGAGGGGAGAGAGGCAGAGGCTTCCCATGCGGCCTAACAGCATGGAGAGAGTTAGCGCCGCCGCCGCTGCCGCCGCCGCCGTTGCCGCGATGGGCAGTCCCGGGAGCGGCGGCAGCAGCGGCAGCGGCAGCAGCAGCAGCGGGATGGTGGACGCGTCGTTCCTCGCTGCCCGGCGCTCGTCGCTAGCCATGTCGCACCGGCGAGCCACTGAGGGGGACCCTGCGCCGGGCGAGCTCAGGTAGGCGGGCTTTGAAACCTAGGGTCAATCTAAAAGGCTTAACTTAGTAGCATGTGGACTATAGCTTATAGCGTTGAGCTAGTTGGCGGCATTCACTGCCGATTTGTTGGGAACGGTGGGCTGAACGACGGGTAAAAAACGAAATTGGGCTGCTCCACTGGTCGGACGCTGCTCTCCCCCCTTCCCATCTCCTTCCCCCCTTCTCCCCCTCTTCCCCCCTTCCGCCCCACCCCTCTTCCCCCCTTCCGCCCTTCCCCCCACCCCCCTCCCCCCCTGTCTGACCCGTCTCTCGCATGCTGTGTGCTTGCATCATGGAAATGTGGAGATGGCATGTGACATGACGTGGCACGACCTGGTGTGGAATGGAATGTAACGGCATGGCATGGCATGGCATGGTGTGTGTGGATGGCACCCTATCCCCCACAGTGACACCCAGGGTCGTAGGCCATACCTCACGGGCGACCCTGGCATGGATGGATACCGGAGGTATGCCATGGCACGTGCGTGCATGTGGCATGTGGCATGAGGCATGTGGCATGTGGCAGCACAGCACATGCGCACACGTGGATATGAGCACGCACATGCACCCGCGTACACGCACATGCACGTGTATGTATGGGCATACACACGCTTGCACACACACAGAAACGCACAGAATGAACTCTTACGGACGATTGACTCGCTTCTCAGTGCTCCTTATCCGACTCTCTGCCCTTTCTTCAAAGCGCCAGTTGACCGCTGGCGTCTAACACATTCCACCTCTGCGTCTGTCCTTTCTCTCTCCACTTCCGTCTCTCCCTCTGCTGCCCCCCAAACGACCCCTCTTCGCTGCTGCACTGCTCCGCCGTTCGTGCCATCCCTTATTCTTTCCTGTGCAGTGCCGGCGACTACAACAGACGGCCCTCCATGCTCAGCGACAGGTGCCCTCTCTCTCGCCCCCTCCCCCCTCCCTCTCTCCTCCTCTCACCGCACCCCACGTTTTGCTCTCCCCATTCCATCCGACTCTCTTTCTCCTTCCCCCTACCTCCACTCACTGTCTCCCCTCCTCCTTGCGCCTCTCCTCTCCCCTCCCCACCCCCCCCAATCCCCCCCAACAGCGAGTACACGCGGCGGCCGTCAATGCTGAGGGAGAGGGGAGACGTGTACCGCAGGTGGGTCAAAGCGGGTCAAAGTGGGTCAAAGCGGGTCAAGGTGGGGTCAAAGTGGGTCAAAGTAGGGAGCCCGGCGGGCCCGTGGTGCATTTCATGGGTGCCCATCATGTGGGGTGAAACCTCTTGTCTCGCCTCCACCCGTTCATCTTATTTCGTGTTTGTTTGAGGCGCCTCATTTCTGGCATTTTCCCATGGATCCAGAACCGTCCAGCTGTTGGGATTTGTCCGTTTCCCCTCTCCCCCCCTACCATATTACACTGCTTCCCTTTGACAACCTCCCTTCCCCGGCCTTTCCCTCCCTTCCCCCCTCCCTCCCCCCCCTCCCCTCGCCCTTCCTGATGGGCCCTGTCTTTCCTCCAGTACCATCTCTTTGCCGCCTGTACCCCTCCTTCCATGTACTGCATGTGGACACCACGTTGGTGGAGTTTTTGCCATTGGAAGGCACTTTTATCTGTACCCCGCCCGCCCTTGCTGCCCCATCTTGGCCTCGTTGCCATGTGTCGCATCACCACGAACCACACACCCTTCGGGCTTGCCCTAGTGACTTCACCTCCCGTCTGTCACCCTTTGGGTGTTAGTAATTTCGTTTGAGTCGACTCAAAACGAAATTACTGACATCACCACATACCACACACCCTTCGGTCCTGCCCTATTAATTTCGCCTCCCCTCTGTCACCCTCCGGGCTTTCCATATTGACTTTCCCATGCCGTCACCCCCTCCCTCCTTTGTCCCCTTTCCATGTTGCTTTTCAACCCCGCTCTCGGCAGATGGGCCCGTCCCTCTCCTCTCTCACGGGTTCCTCTCTCGACCCTGTGGATTCTGCCTTTGAAGCGCTTCAAAACTTCCCTCCTGTTTCTCGCCCCTTGCTTACTTGCTTGCTTCCCCCCCAGTTCTCGGCAGATGGGCCCGTCCCTCTCCTCACTCACAGGCTCCTCTCTCGACCCTGTGGATTCTGCCTTCTCCCAAGCCGCTGCCTACACCTCGCGATTCCAGCAGCAGCACCACCAGCAGCAGCAGCAGCAGCAGCAGGTGCCGCCGCCGCAGCAGTACCAGCAGCAGCCGCCTTCACTGCTGGATGGCGGGAATACGGCACTGGGAGGCACGGGCGTCGCTGCCGCTACCAGATCGTAAGGACGTAGCTAGTAAACGTGGCTTGTAGACGTGGCTAGTAGACGTAGCCAGAAGACGTAGGTAGTAGACGTAGCTGGTAGAAGCTGTGTTGTGACGGACCTGTCGCTGTGCGTGACTGACCTGACCTGACCTCCTTTCATCCCCATTGTACGCTTGCTCGGCGCCCACTCGTTCTCTGTTCTTACATCCGCCTGCCCATACCACCTTCCTTTGCCCCCCCTGTTCTGAAACCCCCTCTCGCACTAAACCACCCTCTCTCCTATCCCCGCTCCCTCTCCGGCCCCTCCCCTCCCACTTGTTCCTCTCCCCTTCACACCCCTCTCTCCCTCACAACCCCTTCCCCTCCCCGCTCTCCCGTCCCCCGTCCCCCGTCCCCCCTGCCCCCTGCCCCCCTCGCCCCTGCTGGCCCCAGTGTGGAGCGGTACATGCCGTACCTCTCTGGTCGCTCTCCCCGTCTCCCTATCCCCTATACCCGAATCCCCCATATCCCTATCCCCTATACCCGCTTGACCTCCCCCCCCCCTCCCCCCCCTTCCAACCCCTCGCCCCTGCTGGCCCCAGTGTGGAGCGGTACATGTCGTACCTCTCTGGGCGCTCGTCCCGCCGTCCCAACCTGGCAGCGAACCCCAACCCTCTCCTCATCCCTGCCGCCTCAGGGGGCTTTACTGGCTCCAATATAAGGTGCGGCTTCTTATAAGGTGTGCTTCAGTGCTGGGTGTGCTTCAGTACTGGCTGTCCTCCAGTGTAAGGTGTGCTCCAATATAAGGTGGATTCAATGTAAGTTGTGCTCCATATAAGGTGGGCTCCTCCATAAGGTAGGCTTCATTGTAAATTGGGCTCCAAAATTAGGCAGGCTCCAATGAATCTCCCCCCTCCTCCTCCCTCCCCACCGTCCCCCCCCCCCCTCCCCCCCCTGCCCCCCTGCCCCCCCTCTTCCCCCCCTTTTCCCCAGCCCCACGAGTGAGCCAGAGGCGAATGCGTTCCGCAGGCACCGCAGCAGGCGGCGGGCCATACAGGAGGACCGCATGGCTCTGGGGGGCAGGTGAGGAGGGTGGAGGAGATGGGGGGCAGGTGGGGGAATGGTGGAGGGCAGGTGGAAGGGCAGGTGGCAGTTGGAAGGGCCGTTGGAAGGGCAGGTGGCAGTTGGAAGGGCCGTTGGAAGGGCAGGTGGCAGGTGGAAGGGCAGGTGGAAGGGTAGGTGGAAGGGCAGGTGGAAGGGCAGGTGGCAGGGCAGGTGGAAGGGCAGGTGGAAGGGCAGGTTGAAGGGCAGGTGGGGAGGCAGAAACGGAGGAGCAGACTGCTGTGGGATGAGTCCCAACGCAATTGCACGCTTGAACACACACCCGGTATGCCCATTTGACTGCTGTGTGGGAAGTGGCCACGGCTCTACTGCTTGTGCGCACACTCGGTCGTGCCACAAACATACGGGCCTCATTCCATCCGATGCATCCATGTGCACCCGCATCTCACAGAAAGCCTCTCCCTCGCGCTCTCCTCACCCTCCCACTCTCCCGCATTGTTCCCCCCGTGCCCCCACCGCAGCAGCCGCATGCACATGCTGCACACGCGCTCAGGCGCGCTGCAGGGCACAGCATCCCCGGGGGAGGGGGGCAGCGGGGGGAGCACAGTGGGCATGGGCATGGGGCACGGTGCGAGTGGGGCTGTGAGTGAGAGCGAGGGTGCGATGATGATGATGGGCGGGGGGCGCATGGCAGGGTACCATGGCGGGGGCGGTGGCGGTGCGTACCGCATGCAGCGCACGCCCTCCAACAACTCCATGGACGGCGGGTGAGTGAATGCAGACGCAGGGAGTGGACTGCGGAAACTGGAGTGCGACCCCCCCAACCCCTCCCCAAACACCCCCTTGGGTTTCCCTCCAAAGTCGTCTTCTGCCTTTCCCGGTCCCTCTATCTCTTTTCCGGTCCCTCTATCTCTTTCCGGATCCCTCTATCTCTTTCCCTCTCGCTCCCTACTCGCCCGTTCGCTGTTATCTTCCCACATTTGGTGCAGTGTTTGTGTCTCAGGCGGCACCATTCTCACCTGCCCCTAATTCGCCCTCCAACCCAACCCCCCCCCCCCCTCTCCCCCGTGCCCCCTTCCCGCAGGACGGACTCGGGGCCCGAGGGCATGGGGGCGCATGCAGGAGTCATGGCATCAGCTTCAGGAGGGCACATGGGCATGGGCGGCATGGGGGTGCTGGAGGATGGGTATGTGTCGTCGCCCGCAGGGGGCATCACCAGCCCCATGGCAGCAGCTGCAGCAGCGGCCGTTGCAGCAGTCTCAGGGGCCTCCAGGTAATGGTCATGCCCTGTGTTGCTGTCCTTCTGTCAGTGAATATGCACAACCCCCCCACCCCTCCCCCACCCCCGCCCCCTGCTCCTTTGTCCTCCCACCCACCCCTCCTCCCCCCTCCCTCCTCCCCCCCCCCCCATCACTCTCTCCTCCATCCCCGTTCCCTCCCCCCCCCCTCCCTCCTTTTTCCTTCCTCTGTCCGCTCTCTCTTGTCCGCTCTCTCTTGTCCGCTCTCTCTTGTCCGCTCTCTCTTTTCCGCTCTCTCTTGTCCGCTCTCTCTTGTCCGCTCTCTCTTGTCCGCTCTCTCTTGTCCTCTCTCTCTTGTCCGCTCTCTCTTGTCCTCTCACGTCAACCCGCACCCGCCCTCTCCCTTGGTCACTGCAGCAGCAGTCCGGAGCATCCGTTCATATCTGCACGCGCCAAGGCGTCCCTGGGCCTCATGCAGCGCAGGGCAGCTGACTCCGCCATCGCCTTCAGGTGGGTGGGTGGGTGGGTGGGTGGGTGGGTGGGTGGGTGTTGGGTGGGTGTGAGAGTGCGTTTGCACGAGCGCCAAAATGTGTGCCCTTTTCTCCACTTCGTTTGAAATGTTCAACATCTCATCTCCTCCCCCATCCCATCTCTTTCCCCCACAGGAGGAGCGGGGCAGGATCAGAGGATGCTGATACGCCTCAGGGCTCTCTCAGGTTCGCACCCTTGGCCTCTCCCCCTCCTTCCCTCCTGTGTCTGCTACACTGTCTCGTTCTTCTCCTGCTGCCCATCCCCCTTTTCCCTCTTTCTCGTTGGCTCGCTCATCCCTCCCAAACTTGCGTTTCTGAGTGCATTCACAACTTCCTTTCTGCTCCCCACTCTCCCTCGCCCCCCACTCTCCCTCGCCCCCCTCTCTCCCTCGCCCCCCACTCTCCCTCGCCCCCCTCTCTCCCTCGCCCCCCTCTCTCCCTCGCCCCCTCCTCAGCTCGATCAACTCTGAGGGCCACCTGTCCTCTGCTCCGGGATCCTCTGGTCTGGACCCCATGCCACCGCCTCGCAGGCGATCAATCGCACAGGGGCAGGGGCAGGGGCAGGGGCAGGGGGACAGTGCAGGGGAGGGGGGGGGCAGTGAGCAGGGAGGGGCAGTGCCTGCTGGTGCTGCTCTGGGTGGCAGCGGCTCTGGCAGTGGCAGCGAGCACCAGTTACGGTCCTCTCCGCCCCCTTCTGCCTTTCTCCTCCCTGTCTTGATTCCTTCCGCTCCGCTTCTGCTCGCTCTAATCTTGTGCTCCACTTGGGTTCTATACCACAAGTCTGTTAAATCTTGCCGTCTTCTCGCCTCCCTCCCTCCCTCCCTCCCTCCCTCCCTCCATCGCTCCCTCCCTCGCTCCCTCCCTCCCTCCCTCCCTCCCTCCATCGCTCCCTCCCTCGCTCCCTCCCTCCCTCCCTCCCTCCCTCCCTCCCTTCTTGCTGTTCTTCTGCCAAATCTTGCCCTGTGTTCCAGGCGGTGCACTCACAGACTGACGTCTGCAATCCCCCCCCTCCCTCTCTTCCCCCCTCGGCTCCCTCCCTCCCACATCAGGAGCACCACTTTCAAGCCCACCCCGCCTCCCCGTCGCAACATGGGCGAGCCATCAGCCCCTCGGTAATACCCACTACATCCCAACCCAACTCAACGCAAGCCAGCCAACCAACCTTTCCCTTTGCGTCTCAGCCCTTCTTCACCTTGCCATGCCATTCCCGGCTGGGTCAACCTGATGCTTTCTTTCTCCCCCCCGTTCAAGCCTCATGCGTCTCACTCCCAACCCGATTCCCTACTTCCGTTTTGCCCTCTACTTCCTGCGCTCTCTCCTAATCGCCTACTCCCATTCGCTCCCACCTCCCAACTCTCCCTCCCCGTTTGTCCCCCCCCCTCCTTCTCTCCCTCTCTGTGTGCACTGCCAAAGGGGTCGCCGGCGCACCACTCTGGAAGTCAGTGACGAGGTGGCCAAGTGAGTGATGCCCCCTCACGCCCTCACGCCCTCACGCCCTCACGCCCTCACTCCCGCACGCCCGCATGCCCGCACGCCCGCACACCCACGCGCCCTCACTCCCGCCCCACCATTGCTCCCCGTCTCACTGCATTCTCCTTCCTGTGTTCATGCCACGTGCCTGCCTGCCACTCCCTCATCTTTGCCCATGCCCGTGCCGTGCCCCATCGCATCCCTCCCACACACGAGCTTGTTCGTCGTGGTTTCCCTCCCCTCTCCTGCTGCTTACTTACCCGTGCCCCCTCCCTCCCTTCCCCTCCCAGGAAGGTGCGCGAGTACAACGAGCTCATACGACGGGACAGGAGGGCGTTGAGGGTGGACCCGCCAGCCGCACCAGATCCAGCAGCGGCAGCAGACGGCACAGAGCCCTCCGTGCTGCCATCCCCACTGCCCCTGGTGCTACCTGCTGCTGCTGCTGCGGCTGCCGCTGCCGCCGCTGCTGCTGCCGCCTCTGCCATAGTAAGCTGCCCTTTGTGTCTCTGCTGCTGCGGCCTCTTCGGTATGTCCCTACTGCTGCTGTTGCTGCTGCTGCTGCTGCTGCCTCCTCTGCCACGGTAAGCTGCAGTAAAGTCGTGTTTGTCTCTGCTGATGCTGCGGCTGCTTCTGCTGCTGCTGCTGCTGCTTCTGCGACTACTGCTTCTGCGGCTGCTTTTGCTGCTGCTGCCGCTTCTGCCTTGGGAGGCTGGAGCACAGGTGCTGCTTCTAGGTGCACGTCTCTGTCTACAAGCAGCATTGTTGGCCTGCGCTATTGGCTCTCGGCTCCTCTATTCTCCTTTAGGGTTTTGTATACTTGTTTCACACACTGTAAACAACTTTTTTTTCCCTCCCTCCCTCCCTCCCTCCGTCCCTTTCCAGCGCGTGTGCCCCACGTGCCACCAGCCATTGCCGCGTGACTCGTCGTTCGCCACCACCCCCGCCACACCTACCACGGCCAAAGCTGACCTCTTTGCCCTCACACCCAGTGCTGCTGCCTCTGACGCACCCTCCCTGGCTGCGACCGGTTTCAAGGACCCGCGAGACCAAGGGGCTGCTCTAACAGCAGCAGCAGGGGCAGGAGGTCGAGGAGGAGGAGGAGGAGGGGTAGCAGGGTCAGAGGGGGCAGGAGGGGGAGTAGTAGGAGGTGTCGGAGGAGTTGGAGTGGCAGGGACGGCAGGAGCAGCCGCAGAAGTAGGGGCGGGAGCAGGAGAGAACGGGACAGCAGCAGGAGCAGCAGAGGGAGGGGAGCAGGAGGAGAGAGGGGAGAGGGGGGGAGCGGGGGCGAGTGGGGAAGCAGGTGCTGAGGCGGGGGAGGGGGAGGGGAGAAGTGCGTTGCTTGAGCGAGTGAGGGAGAGTGGTAATGGAGCGGTTTCGAACAGTCTAGAGAGAGTACTAGAGCACAGTATGGAAGGGAGGGAGGAGGAAGGGGAGGGGCGTGAGGAGGTGGGAGCAGGGGCGAGGGAAGGAGAGGGAAGCGGCAGCGCGAGGAGAAGCAGCAGCACAGAGGGAGGGCACCCCGAGGGGGGTGTGGGGAGCGTAGGAAAGCCGGGGGGGCAATCAGAGGAGCGGCAAGGAGAGGGTTCTGAAGGGAGTGGAGGGCGGGAAGGTGGGGGTGGTAGGGAAGGGGGAGGGGGAGCAAGCGAGAGCGAAGCGGAGAGAGGAGAGGGTGCGGTTGACAGCAGGCATGGTAGAGGGCCGGATGGACATGAGGGGAGAGAGGGGGGTGGAGCAGAGGGAAGGGATGGAAGGGAGAAGGATAAAGGGGAGGGGGAGGGGGAGAGAAGTGAGGGAAGGAGCGTGGAGGGGGAGGGAGAGGGCAGGGAAGGAGGCAAGGGCGAAGCTTGCAAGAGTGCGGATGGTGAGGGTAAAGGGGGAGGGGCCAGCAGAAGAGACGAGGGGTCAGGGGACGGGTCAGGAGGCGTGGTACAACAGCAAGTGCCGGTGCCGCCACCAAAGCAGCAGCAGCAGCAGCCGCGGTTACAGCAGCTGGTGCTGCTTCACCAGCAGACAGACTCCCATGAGTCGACCCCCCTGTCCTCGCCACCCAAAGCGCCCTCCACCAACCCCCACACACCCACCACCGGCCTCTCACCCCAACCCCCTTCCTCCCTCGCTATCTCCTCCCACCATCCATCTTCCTCCTCGCTCTCCCCCCACCCTCCCCCCTCGGGCAACCCCCTGCACCCGCCCCACGGCACGCCGCCCCTACTCGGATCGGCCAATCACATGGCAGGGATGGGGGCGGGGTCGGGAGTGGGCGCAGGGTGGGGAGGGCCAGGAGGAGCGGCAGTGGCAGGGGCAGTGCAGCAGCTGTCGCTGCTGCCGCAGCAGGAGTGGACCATAGAGTTCTCGGAGCTCCGGCTCGGCATCAGAGTGGGCGTTGGTAAGAGCTGCGATTTGCGGGGCGTCAGGAAGGGGGGGTAGATGATCGCTGCGGTTAGAAGGCGGTGTGTGTGCTCTGCCATTGTGGACCATAGAGTTCTCCGAGCTCCGGCTCGGCATCAGAGTGGGCGTTGGTAAGAGCTGCTTTTTGCGGGGCCTCGGGAAGTAGGGGTAGGAGAGCGTTGCGGTTAAAAGCGGCGCGTGAGTGTTGCTATTGTGGACCATAGATTTGTCGGAGGTCACGGTCAGCATCAGAGTGGGCGTTTGTAAGAGCTGGTACTGGAAATCGGGGCTCTGCCGTACGCTGTATGCTGTAGGCTTTGGAGTTGACTTTGGAGGAACCTAAAAGGTTAGTTGTCGTCTCGAGAGAACGTTGGTTTATACCCGACGTAGGAGCCGTTTCCCGTTATCGTTTCCCTTCATATAGACATTTTTTAGGCGCCTCAAAAGTCGTCTCTTTATCCGCGGTTTTGAGGTGCCTCAAAAGGTTTCCCTTCATATAGACACAAGTCTCCGGTCATCTCAGTACGCTAGCGCCCTGGGGCTCCCGTTTCCTCTTCTTTCCCTTCTCCTCTTCCTCCTCCTCTTCCTCGTCGCCCTGTTCTCGGTGCAGGGTCATTTGGCGAGGTGTTCAGAGCGGTGTGGCGCGGTACGGAGGTGGCGGTGAAGATGCTGTGGGAGCAGGACGCCAAGCCTGAGGACACGGAGGACTTCTACAACGAGATCGCGCTGCTCAGCCGCCTCAGACACCCCAACGGTACACTGACAGTGTAGTTTTGACTCTTGAGACGTCTCAAAACTGCTGAGCCGCCTGTGCCACCCCAATGGTAACCTCCTACCTACCTACCCACCCACCTAGTGCTTACCTACCGTGGTAGAGTAGATGCAGTTGGGAGAACCGAGCTTGTTGCTGTGCTGTCTACCAACCCAGTTTCTCAGTGGGAAACGGTTACCTGTGACAGCGCTGCTCTGCTCAGCTCCCTTTTCTGCTCTGCTGTTCTCTGCTGTGCTCTACTCTCGTCCTCACATTCACTCTCTCCTCTTTCCTGTCTCCTCCTCTCTTACAAACCCCCTCTTGCAACCTAACTCACTCCGCCCCTCCCTCCATCCCCCCAACACAACCTCTCGAACCCTGCTCCTCTTCCCCCTCCCTCTCCCCCAGTGATTCTATTCATGGGGGCATGCACGGTGCCCCCACACCTCTCCATGGTCACGGAGTACATGCACATGGGGTCGCTCTACCGCATCATCCACAGCCGCGAGCCGGGGCAGGGCGGCGAGTCGCTCAGCTGGAAACGCCGCTACAAGATGCTTCGAGACATCTGCAGGTGGGGGGAGAGGAGGGGAGGGAAGGGGAGGGGAGGGGAGCGGAGGGAGGTGGAGGGGTGTGGTGGAGTGGGACAGGTTGGGTGCGATGGAATGCGGTTGTGTCAGTATTACATTGAATGGCAATGTTAGTCAGACGTTTTTGACCTGCTTCGAAAGCTCTCTTCACTTCACCTCTCCATTCCCCCTCCCATCACGTCCCGAACCCCTCCCTCCCCACCTCTATTTTCCAGGGGCGTGCTGTGTCTCCAGCGCATTAGCACTGTCCCCTCAACCTGCCAAACGTCTTACATGCCTCTCAAGAGTCCACTCAAACTCCCTCCCAATTGCCTTAACCCCCTTTCCCCCCCCACTCCTCGCTCCCCAGGGGCATGCTGATTCTGCAGCGCATGAGCATCATCCACCCCTCAACCCGCCAAATGCCCAATGCTTTCACAACCCCATGCCTACTCCCTCCCATTCCCCTCCCTCCCCCCCCTCCTCCTCCCTTCCCTAGGGGCATGCTGTGTCTGCAGCGCATGAGCATCATCCACCGCGACCTCAAATCCGCCAACTGCCTGGTGGACCGCCACTGGTGCGTCAAGGTGTGCGACTTCGGCCTCTCGCGCATCGCCACGGGGGGCTACGTGGTGGGGCGCACGGCGGCGGGCACGCCCGAGTGGATGGCGCCTGAACTGCTGAGGAACGAGCGGTGCTCGTTCAAGTGCGACGTGTTCAGCTTGGGAGTGATTATGTGGGAGCTCGCCACGTTGAGACGGCCCTGGGAGGACTGCAATGGCCCGCTAGAGGTGACACAGGGGTTAGTGGGGGGGAGGGGTTGAGGGAGAGAGTAGCAGGGGCAGCACACAAGGTGTGTTTTTAAGGGCTGGTTTCTGTGGTTGGGGGGCTGGTTAAGGGAAGGCCAACCGCTCTTCCAGAAACAATGTGGGAAACGTGTGGGATTCGTGAGGGAGAGTTGTTTCTCTGGGTTGTTGGTTGTCCACAACACTCCCTGACGAGACTTGAGTCACCTCGACCAACCCCTTCCTCTGCTCTTGTCCCCCTCGACCCTCGTCTTGCTACCCAAAAGCCCACCACTAGATGGCATGTGCTGTGCCCCATCCTAATTCTCGCCTCAAGGGTGACTTTTTTACGTGCCTTCTGAGTCCACTAGAAATCTCCCCCAACGCACCCTTTCTGCCACCCCTTGTCCCACCACCACCAGGTGGCATATGCCGTGGCCCATCACAATTCTCGCCTTCCTGTGCCCAACACCAGCCTCGGCCGTCTCATCTCAGGTGCTTACCTCCCTCGCCCTCGCTCCCCCTTCTCCCCTCCCCCGTTCCCATACATGCATGCAGCACACACACCCCTCCCCCGCTTTTCTCTCACAGTACACTTACATTGCCCTCTGATTCCGCCGCCCCTCGAAAGCCCGTCTCGTCTGATGTGGTACTGCTCAACCCAACCCCGGTGGTGTGTGGTGCGGGGCAGATTGCTGGAAGGAGGACCCGGACCAGAGGCCTGACTATGAGGAGATCCTGGAGAGACTGCACGAGTGCGAGTACATGGACTCGTGAGACGATTTTGAGCCTAAACTTGAAGCCTAAATTTCGAGTACATGGTTGCGTGCGTGTAGTACCGCCAGTACTACATGTGGACTCGTGAGTCGTTACGTGAGGGTGCATTAGTGCTACCATGCACCACCATACTGGTACATGTTGGTGGGGCGTGCCTTGGCTTGGAGCCTGTGCTCGCAAGTGTGCGGCAGAATATGTAATTGGGATAATACGAGGGAGGGGCACACTGGTATGGCATTGTACTTACCGGTACCACCATTGGAATTGATTGGGATTCTATTGTTTTCTTTATTTAATTCAAAGTAAGTTTGTCTATATGCGAGTTTTGCTACCCCATAATATCTCAAGGGTTACGAATAACCTTTTAGTCAATGGAGAGCCTTATTGATGATCAATAAACACAAATCTTAACAAGTTTGCTGTATGCAAACAAACACTGACCATGTGGTGGATATCCCTAGTAGGTACCGAAAGTCTGGATTCTGTTTTAGCGAAGTCCTCAATTCAGAGTACAATGGGGAAGCTAAACTTCCCCTGATGACTGCACCTCGTCTATTCAAAGACGAAGCTGACCCCCCTTGGGTTCAAATCAGTGGTTTTCCGTCAACGGCCTTCAAAACCACCCTTCAAGCCACCTTCTACCCCCAGTTACCTCCATTCCCCCATTTCCCCCCCCCCCCCCCCCCCCCTTCAACCCCCTGCACTGCCTTACACCGTCCTTCACCGCCTTGTGGCGTGCTGCAGCAGCGACTGCAGGTGCAGCACCTGCCCCAGCAGGTCCCGCTGCTCACCCTACACCTCGTCCAGCTGCACGGTGGCGTTCGCCATCCCCTTGTGTGCAGCACCGCCCTGCATCCCCTTTCACCGCCTTCACCGCCCTGTAGCCTGCTGCAGCAGCATCTGCAGGTGCGCCACCTGCTCTAGCAGCGCTTTCTGCTCGCCCTGCAGCGCCGTCAGCTGCGCCGTGGCGTCCGCCAGCCCCTTGCGCGCGGCGGCGCCATCCACCTGCAGGTGCGCCGCCATCACCTCCAACTCCTCCAGCCGCTGCTGCCGCCGCTGCCGCGACCGCTTCGCCGACGCTCGGTTGGATACGATCCTGGGAAGGGGGACGCGGGGGGGAAGTGGGGGAGAAAGGGGGTGCAAGGAGAGGGGAGAAGGGGGTCTCAGTCCACCTGCAGGTGCGCCGCCATCACCTCGACGCGCGGTTGGAGACGATCCTGGGAAGAGGGACACAGGGGGGAAAGTGGGGGAGAACGGGTGTGGACACGGGGGAATGGAGAGGGAGGGGAGGGTGGGGAACGAAGTGGTCATTGAAGAACGGACTAAGTGCATTGCGAAAGTGCAGGTAACGCCGGGGGGAACGAGGCAGACAGGAAATGCAGGGCAAGGTAGGCAGCCGTCCGTCCCGATTCCCCAGTGAGTCCCCCGAGGGGAGGAGGAGAATGCCTCACCGTTTCTGCTTCTTCTCGCTCATGAGGGGCGCTGCCGCCGCGTGCACGGCCTGTGGCGCACCCGCTCTCATCACAAACCCCATCCCACCAGTCACGGGCCCGATCGCTATCGACGGCCCCATAAACGACATCCACGGGGACATCCCCGCTCCCCCTCCCGCTCCCCCTCCCCCCATTCCCGCTCCCTTTCCGGCTCTCCCCGCCGTCGCCGTCGCCGCTGCTGCGGCGGTCTGCGCCGCCGCCAGCGCGCTGGTCGCTGTGGCGGCGGCAGGGGAGGGCGGAGACCTGCGCAGGGCGGCGGGTTTGGCGGCGGAAGTCCAGGCGGCGCCGCGCGGGCTGTGAAGGCCGTGCGATGCGGAGAGGCGCGCGGTGATGTCGCTGGCGGGGTTGGACGCGTCCACGAGAGGCGGCGGGACGAGTAGCGGGCTGGTGGGGGACAGACGGAGAGAGAGGAAGAGAAGTGAAGAGGGAAAGAGAGAGGCGGGGGGGGAAGCGAGCGACATGAGAGTGATACGGTGAGTTGCGGCTGAGCCTACCAGTGTCGCGCTTACCTCGTCACTAGCGTGCTTACTGTTTATCACTGGCGCGCTTACCCAGGGGAGGGAAACGAGGGGAGGAGGCTGACAGGGGACAGGAACCCAGTCGGGCCGCACGCCAGCCAATCCAGGTGGTGCGGCGCACCTCCGGCGGCGTGCGACGCGGCGGCGGCGGCGGGAGAGGCGGCGGGATAGTGCAGGGTGAAGGGCGGCATTGAGAGGTGCGGTGCGGTGAGGTGCGGGGAAGCCGCGGCGGCACGGCCGGCTGAGGGCCAGCCGGACTGTGAGTGCGGGGGGAAGTCGAGAGCTATGGCGTCGTCGCCCGTGATGTCCGCCGGAAAATCCGGTCGCTTGCACATGATGGCGGTGGTATGGTAGTGGCGCTGGTGCAGCTGTGTGCGTACAGGCCGCCCTCGGAGGCTGCGATCGCTGTAAGCGGCGGGAGTGTTTACACACGGGTATGCTCCATGCTAGTATACCCCCGGGGCAGTAAGGCAACGGCTTTTCGAGGCTGGCTACGACTCGGGCGAAGGCAGGGCGAGTCGACTTGTGTAGTGAGGAGTGAGAAGAACAAAACAAAACAAAAAAATATGCCAGAACGCAAAGAGCGGGAATTTAACGCTCTGCTATGTCGGTGGAGGTCGAGACTGGGAATTCGAGGAGAAGGGGAGATGGCGGCTCAGTGCGCGGAATCAAGATGAACGGTCGGATTTGGGAGTTGCGATATTGGAAGGTGCTAGGACAGCGCTTCTCGTAGAGCGGATAGGGGCATAGGTGAGCGAAACGTACTGCAGCGAAAAGAAGGGGAGTGCGTGGTTTAGGTTGGAGGAGGGAAGGGGGGGAGGGGAGAGAGAGAAAGCAGGAGGTGAGGTGAGGTGAGGACTCAGGAGGAGGAGATGGCACGTGACAATGAGACGACCGGCGACGCGTGCCTGATCGCGTACCTGATCCACCCACTCCACCACAAAACAATGCAACGCTATGCTAGAGAGGGGATGAGGGGGGGAAGAGAGGGAGAGAGTGACTCAGCAGCACACGCAGAAAAACAAAGCCTTCTCTCGCTTTCCTCCGTAGACACTGTGAATGCCACGTTCCTGTTGCTGTGCTGCCATCCCATCCCCTGGCCTATGCGCAAAATGTGGCCCTTCGCACATTTTCCAGTGCTGGCCAAACGGAATCTGAGTGCGTTGCTACGCTGCCCCAAGCTGCGCTGGTTGATCCAAGGTGAAAGGGGGAAATGTGGAAAACATTTCGTCGAAGTACACTACAGCATAATGAGCACATCGTCAGGTTGGTCACACAGCTGGTCCAACCTGGGAAGGAAGGAACCTTCAAATGTGTTACCACCAATGCTGGACCGAAAAAAAAAAAAAAAAAAAAAAAAAAACAACAACAACAACTTGAATTTCTATGATCTTCCCATTAAAAACATTCCTGCCGAGTCTTGGTCAACATTCGACAACAAAAGGCGCTTCGTGATCGCAATTCCTTGCAATGCTGTCCAGCCGCTCGAGGCTCCATTGGTGAATTTCGCATGTGTCGGCTGACACAGCAGCATCCGCGCTGATCGTTGCGCACACCGAGAAAGCATTCCACGCTGGCCCCACAAGCTTCAGGATTGCTTTAGCGAGGATGGAGATGACAGGATAAGTCCCCTGACTTCATACCGTCAAACCTCATTGATTGGCATAGCTTAGATTCATACTTCAAACAAATAAACAAATTCTACGTTAAATTCTAGGGTGAACATGTTCAGAGAGTAAAAGCACGTTATTTCGAAGCTACATATTTTTTCTTAGGTATATATATATATATATCCTTGCAACCAGACATCTGTGGCGAAGGGTATGCATATAAGCAAATTAAGCTATAATTTGAGGATAAAAGACATAGTTATACGTGATGCATGTGTACGGATTTGGGCGGAATTGATGTAGAAAATATTGTTATACGTCCTCCTTTACTTAGGCGGAATTCGTCGCTTGTAGCGCAGCACCACGGGCACACCCATTTGGACAGGATGTTCGCTTGTTCTGGCTTTGCTGGCCAGCTGAATGTTCATTGGTCATAATTTTCGAGCCGCAACCGTCAGAGTTTAAAATGTGCTCAATCGAGCCGCATTTCATCTCCGTTCAGCAGCTGCAGCGACTCGATGAAAACTGCCAAGAATGCCGCGAGCGACTCCTCAACTTCTCTCCTCTTTCAAATAACCAAATTTGCCCCAACTTACAGCCGAATGTGCGAGGCTGTTCTGCTGCTTCCTGCCGCTTCGCAGTCTTGCCGTAGTCTCAGCTTGCTTCGAATTCCGCCGCTCTAGTTCATTCATTCACTCATTCTGCCATCATGTGAGAGTGTTAGGCACAGTGATTTCAGTCGCCCTGGGGATGGGTGGGTATGCGACAAGACAAGAAAAAACGGTTTTTGGGAGGACGAATCAATGCAAATGGCTCGTGAGAGGAGGAGAAAGGAAGGTGGATGGGCCGAGTATATTCGCACTAAGACCAACCACATTCGGTGCGGCCCATCCAGAATCCGAACCCGCGCCCTTATCTCCACGCAGTCACACAGCCCACGCAAAACGCGTTCAGCAGCATCCGAAGTGCAGTACGGGAAAGTAGGTGCCTTTTGAGTCGACTCAAAAGTCACCTATGAAATTAAGTGCCTCGCCAAACCACACGTGGTCGAGGCTCCCCTCATTCAGTGACGGTTGACCTGCGGCTTTCCCCCTCTCCGCTCACTCCCGTGTGGTCCGTTTTTCTCTGCGACTGCCTGCCACCTTTGCTCCCCCCTCCCCTCCCCTCCTCATCATACCCCACCTACAGATCCAAGTCCAAGTCCCTCCCTCCCGGGTCCCCCGAGTCCCTCCCGAGTCCCCCCGACCCCTGGTAGACCAAAGGAAGCGGGGGAATGACACGCCAGCCACACGATCTAGTACTGCACTGTGGTAACCACAACAGGGGATGCTAGCAGGGGCTGCTACTGTAGTACCGCGCAGCCAGAGGTGCTTCCGCTCCCCTCCAATCCCCTCATCTCCGGTCCGGTCCGGTTCCCTTCTCTCCAATCCCCTCCCCTCTCACCCGCACTGCTCACCCGCACTCCCCCTCGGCCGAAAAGCCCGCCACCCCGCCATATGCGCCCAGATCTTCCGAGAGGTTGCCCGCCCGGGACCGACGCTCTCGGCCCGCCAGTCAGATGGCAACGCAACAGTAGACGGGGCACAGTAGCTCAGTGGCTAGAAGCAGGTGAGTGGGGTTGTGGGCGTAGTGTCGGCGTGCCCTCAACACCGCACTTCCAGCCCTTCCCTCTCGCTCTCCCTCCCTCACTCCCCCCCACTCTCGCTCCCGCTCTCCTTCCCTCTCTCCCTCCCGCTCTCCTCCCCCGCATCGCTAACCTGCTCGCCGGGGGTTGTGAGGTTGTGACTCACAGCACCGACGCGAGCGGAGCGGGTCGTTTGACCTCGGGCTGATACGCTGCGCGCCCGGCCCGGGGGGCAGAGGCCGCCAGCTGCACTGCGCTGCACGGCGACGCGAGTACTGTATTCCCTACCACCCTCTACCGCGTCCGCCACTGGACGGAAACCCCTGGCAGGGGCCGCGCATTTGGTCACGCCTTCCTCTGGATCGTTGTCCAGGCGAGCCGAACTGCTACCGCCAGTACAGCTGCTCCCAGCAGCACACGATTTTTGAGGCGCCTCAAAAATCAACTGCTACCGCTAGTACAGCTGCTCCCAGCAGCACACGATAAAGCCTTCATGGCTTTCCCGCTGCTCTCTTGCTCCTCCTCGTTCTCTCCGCTTTCTCCCTTGAAGTTCTCTCTCCGAGAAAGGAGGCCCTCTCCTCCGCCTCCGCGTCCGACGCCACTGCGTCCGCTATAACTCTCAGCTCCGCGGATATTAACTAATGGCAGTCGCTCAGCAGAAGCCTTCCGTCTCGTGCGCGCACCTGAAGGTTATTAACCTCTAATCCGCACTCGACGCACCTGCACACCACTCACCTTCGCCCTGCTGGTTCATCCCGCCACCTGACAGTGCCATCGCACTCTACTGCCAGGCAGAAGCAGAAGCAGAAGGAGTAGCAGTCACAGGGGCGGGAGCAGGAGCAGCAGCAGGAGCAGCAGGAACCTGCTTTCTGAACGGCACGTGGGTGAGAGAGAGAGAGAGAGAGCTTGCGTCTTCTTCCAAGGATGAGCCTCGTGCTCTCAGAAACCACCGGTTGCGGAGGGGGATGCAGCAACAGCAGCAGCAGCAGCAGCACCAGCAGCATGAGCAGCAACAACCACAGCCTCAACAAGGGTGGAAGCCATAGCAGCTGCAGCAGCAGCAGCAGCGACTCGGACATTGTATTCGAGTCTGGTTTCCAGTATCCTCGGGCACTCACGTACCACACTGGTAACCACCCTGGTAACCACACTGGTAACCATACTGCGGTTTCTTCAGGTCCCTGCCACCCGTTCTACCGGCACCTGGGCAGGAGCTGCCGGCTGGACGGCAGTCCCAGGCATTTCCACGCGCCCTGCTCCCTGCACCGCCCGGCGCTCGCCCTCCCCGCCATCACCATGCCCCCGCCTCTGCATCTCGACGGCTCCCCCTTCGCTTGCTCGCCTCCTCCCTCGGCAGGGGCGTTTGATGGGCTCGCGCCGGCGGTGGGCAGCCCGCAGCACGGGAAGAGGCCGAGGCCCCGCAGCAAGTTCCGCTGCACAGTGCTGCTGCCAGGAGAGGCAGAGGCGGAGGCGGAGGGGGAAGTGGAGGGGGAAACGAAGGGGGAAGCGGAGGCGGAGTGTTCTGCTGGTGCTGAGCCCTCTGGAAAGGGCGCTGACAGTGCTGGTGCTGCTGCTGCTGCTGCTGCTGCTCCTGCTGGAGGTGCTACAGAGTGGGCCGAGAAGAAGAGGAAGAAGCAGAAGAAGGGCCCAGCGGCTGGCTGTGGTGTGAGGCGCATGCTGCGGCTGAGTCTACACGACAGCAAGGAGAACGGGGAAGAGCGGCTGCAAGGAGCGCAAGGAACGCCCGGAGTGTTAGCACCGCTCACACTGCACGGCTCGGGCTCTGCTTCTGCCTCCGGTGCCCAGGGCTCTGGCGCTCCGTTCACCTTTCCAGGACCTGGTGCCAGCAGCAGTGGCGGTTCTGCTCTCTCTGCTCAGAACACGACGTGGATGATGGTGGTGGGGCAGCATGGGCAGCCAGGGCAGCCAGGGCAGCCAGGACAGCCAGGGCAGCCAGGGCAGCCAGGGCAGCAGGGGCAGCAGGGGCAGCAGGGGCAGCAGGGGCAGCAGGGGCAGCAGGGGCAGCACATGCAGCAAGGGCAGCAACCCATGGGTGCTGCTGCAGGCATCGCTTCTGGGGCGGGTGAGTGGTCAGCAGCAGCCCTGCCATGGCATCCAGCTGTTAGTCGCAGTCCTTCCCGATGCATGCAAATCCTCACCATGCCCAGTGCTTTGCATGGCTCACGCATCTGTGCAGCGCAGTAACCTCTCCCTGGGTAACCCATCCCTGCCGTCTCAACTACCTCCTCTGCTACCCTTCCACCTCTCCTCACCCTCTCCCGTCTCCCTCTCCTCTCGTCTGCTCTATCTTATTCAGGAATACACTGTGCTACAGTCAACCACTCCCTGCTCCCATCTCCGGCATCCTCTCTGCCCAACTCACCAGCACCCAAACTTTCACCAGCAGCAGCGCCAGCACCAGCAGCAGCAGCAGCAGCAGCACCTGCCCTATCGCTTCCACTGTCATCGGCGCTATCACCAGCACCAGCGTCCCTGGGGAGTGAGGCTCTCTACCCCCCTGCGAGCCCGCACTCGCCTCGGCGGCAGTTTGACCCGTTCGCAGCGCCGCTCACCTGCCCCGCCACGCCCCGCAAGCCCACGTTGCCGCCGGGCGGATCGGCATCGGAGCATCTGAGAGTGGCGGAGGAGGGCGCTCCTGCCAGGCGGGTGATGCGCCGCCTGCTCTTCCACTGATGCTGCTGCTCCTGACATGCATCCTCCCAACATGACCTGACCGCACCTAATCCCACCTGACCCCACCTGACCCCACCTGACCCCACCTGACCCCACCTGACCCCACCTGCAAGACCCCTTCCCTGGACCTGACAAGCCTCCTTGACTCACTGACAGCTCCAGGTGCTAACTGCCTGTGCCCCTCACGTGCCAGCACTGCCTCTCTCCTGCCTTTTCCCCCTCCTCCACTGGCCCTAACCGCCCTGCCAGAGGCTACAGCACGACGTGCCAGCAAGACCTCTCCCAGTTCACACCTCCATGCATCCCCTGGCAGCAGCAGCTGCTGTGTCTTCCACATGCGCACCAGCCAAGCACTCACGCAAGCAAGCATGAGCGCCAGTGTCTGTGCCACAAGTCGTGGCTGGTGCTCGTTGCTGACAACCCCCCCCCCCTTCCCTCCATGCCTCTGCACCTGCACTGCATGCCTCTCTTTGGCAAACCTGCACAGAGGGTCCCTGGCAACACCAACCTCTGCAGCGCCTCTCTTGTGCCGTAGCTTTCATACCCATCTGTCCTTCCAACAAGACCCCTCCCTCACTCAGCTTCCCTGAGGCCGAGACTGGATGCTGCTTGCTTGTGTGGTGTAGCATGTGATTGTATAGTATCTTGTGTAAATAAATAAATATGTATGCTGTATATATCTTCGTGTTTCCTCACCTTCGTAGGCCCAAAACACCAGAGCATTGACCATGCAAGGACGCTGATTGCAGTGCACTTCTGCCCAACACAGGCTGTCATACTATCATGTATTGCGTGAATATGTTTCGTTCAGTAGCATGAAATAATGTCACACCATGATGCTGCCTAACCAAATGCCACCATAATAGAAAGTATCTCCACTTCCTAGTGCCTCCAGTTCCACATAAGTCAGTTCCCTTCCCATTCCCAAGATGGCAACCCCAAAAGATCCAATCCCATCAACCCAGGTGGTAAAACCTCAATGTCGCCAGGCAAACCATAGTCGACATCCACCCATCCATCCACAGCCTTAGTTCTTGGATCAATGCCTCTGCTCCCCTCCATTCCACTCGCCTCCCTTAAGTAGAAGGGCCCCGGCCATCCAATCCCAAGGTCTGCCTAAACACATCACTCGAAGGGACAGCTGTACGCCACAACAACCTTCCCACTCAACATTCCTCACCGCCGCCCAAAAAAGCCCCATCCCTCCTCTCAACCAGGGCTAAAGCAATCTGCGGTTCTATTTCCACCCCATGGAAAAGGTGTCTTCAAGGTGACCCACCTCAAAATGCACTAGAGAAAACCAGAGACATCTATAATCCATCCATCCATCCCCATGCCCCCGATCCGGAACCACAAACATCCTCACACCCACACACCCACCCAGCCACCCACCCCTTCCCCCTCCTGGGAAAAGAAAAGTCTTGGAATCCCACTCACCCACCCATCCAGCATTCGGAACCCATGTCCCTTGATCCACGACCTTCCGATCAAGAGCCAGGGCATGGAGAAGCAGCAGGCACAAGCCTCACCCCATAGCACAGCGCACCTGTCCAGTCCAAACCCCATCGCCCCAACCTCTCTGATGTGTGATCACTTGGAGGCCTCCGGTGGAGCAGCAGCAGCAGCAGCAGCAGTCTCAGAGCCAGGTGCTGCCGCTGCTCCCCCCCCTGCTGCACCACCCACCTGCAAAGACCCCATCGCTTCAGTCACCTCTCCAACAGTCACAGGAGCGCTGCCAGCAGCAGTCGCACCACCACCGGCACCAGCAGCAGAGGCCCCATCCGCAGCAGCAGCAACGTCTGCCGCCCCAGCAGAGGCAGCACCGGCAGCAGGTGCTGTATCAGCCGCAACGGAAGAGGGGGCAGAAGCCTGGTCCGCTGCAGCAGGGGTGGCAGTGGTGGCTGCTGCAGCTGCTGCTGCTGCTGCAGCGGCTGCTGCTGATGCCTCAGCCTCAGCAGGGGACGACCCTGCAGGGCCGCCAGGAGCAGATGGCTGGGTTGAATGCATGGGCTGGCCTCGCCCTTGGTTGGGATGGTAGGCACGCTGGTGGGGTGACAGGTCACACACAGACACAGAAGCGGGACACACAGGGATCACATTAGGGCACACACGCATAGGAAGGCACGTACAAGTGCAGGGATGGCCGAGTACGGCACAAGGGAAGCTGAGGGATAGAGGGATAAGAGACAAAGGTGGAATGCATGTCAAGTGCCAGTGCACATGCAAGGCAGAGCATAGGAGGCGGGGTATAGCTGGCAGAGCAGAGAACAAGGCATGAGAGCATAGCAAAAGGCATGATGGAATACCTGGTGCCGATGCATGCCCCCACGGCCATATGGCCCGCCATGGTAGTGCGGGTTCGGCTGCTGGTTGTGATGCTGCAGGGGCGGGAACGCCAGCATGTGCTGCTGCTGGCGGTGGTGCGGGTGCTGGTGGGGATGCTGCTGCATGTGGTGTGGGTGCTGCTGCATGTGATGCGGGTGGTGCTGCTGCTGCTGTGGGTGCTGGAACTGCGGGTGCTGCTGGTGGTGCTGCTGGTGCTGCAGGCGCTCCTTGCGCGCCTGCATGGCCTTCTGCCTCTTGTCGTAGAAGTCAAAGTCGTCCAGGATGGAGGTGCGCGACATGTAGTCCTTGAATATGCGCAGCATCTGCTGCCCTTGCTCTTGCGGCACCTGCATGCATGCATGCACACACAGAGATGCACACCCACACGCACAGCACATGCACATGCACACATACCCGTGCAAGCACACAGAGATGCATCACCCATGAGCGCATGCATATGCGCACACATGCAGGCACACAGAAACCAAGACGCACAGCAGAGAGCGTGGAGAACGAGCAGGACGCAACAGCCATTGAGGGGAGCAACCGGTACACCAGTACAGCCACACCTTTCAGAACAAGCCTAACTCTTGGATGCAACACCAGCAGTCCCACCTCACAGTCCCCCCCACCCCGCCCTATCCTCACATCTTCCCCCTTAACCCCCCTCCCCTCCCTCCCTGCCCTCCTCCCTCCCCTTCCCTCCCCGCTGCCTTCTCTCTTTGGAACCCCCTCAAGCCCATAATCTCTTGTACCCCCATCGCTCCCATCCCTAGCTCCCCTCCCTCCCTCTTCCCTCACTCCCATCCCATCCCTTCCTCCCCCCAGCCCCGCGCCCCTTCCCACTTCTCCCCCCCCCCGCACCTCCTGGGTGTCGCGCGAGTTGGTAACAGGCTTGTTCTCGTTAGCGGCGATGAGCATGTGGCGGAAGTGCGCGTTGGGCACGTCCTTGATCACGTGCCAGCGCACCGTGAACAGCCCGTTCCACTTGTCCTGCTGCCAGAACGATACCGACCGCTGGAAGTCCACGGGGGACATCATCTCCGCCACACCGCAGAACTGCCCGCTCGCGTTCACCTGGGAGGAGAGAGGGATGGCGGGGGAAGGGGTGGGGTGGTGCAGAGAAGGGAGGCATAAGCAAAGAGAGGGGGAAAGGGGCGGGGGGGAGAGAGGAGGAGAGCGAGGAGGGGAAGTCAGAAGAAGGTTTGCAGAGCGAGGATCACCAAAAAAAAAAGAGAGAGTGTAAGGTAGTGCAGTGCAGGGAAGCGTAGAGCAGTTCAGCTTAGTGCAGTGCAGAGAACTGTGGTGTGATCGGCAGCACGCACCGAGAAGAAGAGGAACACGGGGCACCGCGACCCAGTGGCAGTGGCCTTGGCAGCCGCATCCTGGAACGCAGCATTCAGCCTCTTGTTCCCATTCGGCGTGGACGCCCACGCGCCGTACTTGATGCTCTTGTGCACGTCGTCCTCACTGTAGCTCTTGATCACAAAGAACTTCGCGGCCTGGTACGTCACCGGGAAATCCGCCCTATTGATCTCCTCCATACCCTGTACAAGGCTCCAGGGATTCGGCGCGCCCACGCTCGCTACAGCAGCGGCGGCGGCGGCAGCATTGCCAGGCGCGACTAGAGGGGGGGCCATGCCGGGTGTGGGGAATGACCCTGGGGCAGCAGGGCCACCAGGACCGCCGGGCATGCCAGGGAAAGCAAGGAAGCCGGGAGTGCCAGCCAGCGCGGGAAGCCCCACGGCATTGCCAGCATTCGGGGCACCACCTTCCGCTGGTGCTGCTGCAGCATCACCAGCAGCACCTCCAGCAGCGGGAGCGGCGGCGGGGTTGCCGGCAGCAGCAGCTGATCCTGCTGCTGCGCCCTGTGCACCTGCCGTTGCTCCTGGCGCTGCAGCAGCCGCACCGGCAGCACTGCCATCCCCTGCTGTTGCTGCCAGCGGCTGTTGCGGCTGCTTCCCGCGCCCCGCCCGGTTGGTCCTTGGCCCGCGGTTCTGCTCGTTCACAGCCTCATGCATGCCGTTGCCTTGCACCTGACCCCCACGACCGCCCCCAGGTCCCCCCATCATCATAACCCCCCAGGATACCCGCCATACCCGCCCCTACCACCTCTCGCTCCCCTGCCGCCTCTCCCCTTGTCATACCCCCCGGGGCCTCCGCCCCAGCCCCGTCCTCCCCGCCCGCCCTCCCCCCTTCCGCGCCCGCCTACGCCTCCCGGGCCCATTCCGCCGCGCCCGTGCATGCCTGCAGCGGGGTTTCCGAAGCTTGCGCCAGGGGGTCCGCGGCCCATGGGGATGGGCGCTCCTGGCGCAGCGCCTGGGGCTCCGGGGAGAGGGGGGCCGCCGGGCAGGGGGACGCCTTGAGGCGGCATGACGCCATTGGGGGGGACTCCGTGCATCTGCGGGATAGCGCGAGCGTGGGCAGCGGAAGGGGTGTGCGGATCGGGCGTTAGAGGAAGGAGCGCACGCACGAAGGCTACAGGGCAGCAACGCACGACGCGGCTTAGACATGATAAACCAGCAACGCAGCGGGCCAACGACAACGCCAGCAGCGGCGGCGGCGGCGGCCGCCGGCGCGGTACGAACCTGCATGTGCGCAAGATGCGGCGGAGGGATCCCCGCGGGCATGGGCTGGCCCGGCAGGAGGGGCAGCGGGCCGGCCATGGCGTCAGCCGGTGCTGGTGCCGACGAACCGGCGGGCTGATTCAGCTGATCGGGCAGCGCCGCGAGCTTCGATGGATCTGACGCAGTGAGGCGGGGAGAAAGGGGGTGAAACCAAGTGACACGGGGGAGGGGGGGAAAGGGCGGGGGAGGAGAGGAGGGAGGAAGGCAGGCACGCCACGTGGTGGAGGGAAAGAAAGAAGGAAGGCGGGAGCGCCTGAGTGCGGGGTACGATTACAAAGCAGCGGCAAACGGCGTCGCCGCGGCGATTTTAGAAAAGCAATAAGGAAACAACGTCAAACAGAGTGCGACCGGTGGCGATACGCAGAGGGAAGTAGCCCGAATCGGGAAGACGTGGAGCGGTAGATCAAGGACAGAGGGGGCTTGGGGGGTTACCAGCAGGGGGAGGAGGAACGGGGGGCGGGAAGACAGGCGGCTGGAACTGGAAGTGGTGTGGCGCGTACATCTGGCGCGGAGGGGAGTCACACACACACACGGCAGGGCGACGGCGCATGGGGACCGTATACAGTGGACAGTTGACAGTAGACAGTGCATGGGATGGCTATCGAAGCAGCAACGACGACGAAGGACGATGAAGCGAAGAGCAGTGATGGAGAGTGGAAAAGTGACGCGTGCGTGGGACTTCATGCACAGTCTTGAGGCTCATGCTCGATTCTGGATCATAAAGGGCAACGAGGCCTCGTATCAGTATTCTCACACACGAGCAACGAGTGTGGTGGCCGAGACAACGGAAACGCAGGAAGGAGGTCTGCGAGGGAGGAAACAACCGAGGAGCAGCGGATAGGGGAGGGAGCGGGGGAGAGAACGACATGGGGGAGAGGAAGGGGCGGGGGCGGGTGGCACTCACCTGGGACTGGTGGCCTTCTACGCCTTCCGGCATGAGCCCAACAAGCGGCGGGCCCCCTCCGGGAGCGCCACTATTAGCCATGCGCATGTACTCCTCCCACTGCTCGTGGGTGAACCTCCCCGGATCTGCGGCCAAACGGGAAACGGATGCCGCATAACGGGACCACGCAAGAAGGGGGTTTAGGAGTCGCGCGAACGACGAACGCGGTCAAAAGCCAGAAGGACACGGATCGGCGTTCGAGCAGCGGCCAGGTAAAGGTACGACGGTATGGTACGACGGGATCGGATGATTTGAATCGTGTGGGTTTCGAAACACGACGCTACCGAAATATTGCGAAATCGTGGAGAATCGTCGCGCCGTACCGGAAGAATAATCATAGAAGTAGTGCGGGACGAATCCGTTTCCCGCAGCATAGAACACGTTCCCATTAGGATCCGATGCCATCTGAACGTGCTGCTGCTGCTGCTGCTGCAGGTGCTGCTGCTGCTGCTGTTGCTGGTGCAGCTGATCAGTCGCTTGCGGTAAGCCAGGGTGCGGCTGCTGTGGTTGCTGCTGCGACAGTTGCTGCGGTGGCTGCTGGGATTGCTGTGCGTTGGCATTTCCCGAGGCGGCAGCTTCCCCGCTCTGGGTTGACTGAACGACCGCATCGCCTGTTGACTGATGCGATCATGCCAAGCAGCAAGGTTTTGGAACAAAGGCGGGGGAAAAAATCAATTGGGTGTACTTGCAGGGAAGATCAACAGTGCACATATATTTTGGTGGTAGCCGGATTGTCGCGTTGGAAACCAAATTGCGTAACATAACGGTCACGGGGAGGTGTCATAACAAGGAAAAATATACGAGGGTTTAGGAAAGGCGTTAACAGACCTCTGCACTGATCGACGGAGCCCCAGGCGTGGGTGCGTTTGCCTGATCTGTAAGACACAGGCGACGGGAAGGGCAGGGAGGGATGAGATTATGGATTATGGATTATGGAATATGGAATATGGAATATGGGATAGGGGTATGAGAAACTGTCACAGGGGCCTACGTGCCTCGAGTGCTACTCTTCCGCGCAGGAAAATGCATTCTCGCTCCGCAGTCTGATAGAGCTCCCGTCATGGTAACTACTACCCAGGCGGCCGTTTTTGAGGCACCTCAAACATAAACATAAAGCATATGACCGCCACGTTGGTTTTTTTTAAGGCGCCTCAAAAGTCGCAATCTGATAGAGCTCCCGTCATGGTAACTACTACCCAGGTGGCCGTGTGCTCGCCGGTGAATGGGAAGCAGAACGATTGGCTCGACGGTCGCTACCGTATACTGTCAAAGTTGCTATTTGATTAGTCATTTCGTTATTCTTTTGGGATGTTGCATCTTCTACATCTCTGCTTTAGGAGATCAGGTGAGGAAAAATCTGCGGGAGAAAACAACTCGTGAACCTGTCGCCTACGACTTGACTAGTCCTAAAAACGACCAAGAGGTGAAAAGAAGAACTTGAACATGATTGAAGAACCACATAGCCGCAAAACCCTTGCACATGACTTCCACCCTAAGCCCCAAGTCCTCTCATCCAAGCCCGAACATTACTTGAGTCTGAAGGACCAGGAGCCGCAACTCCGGCCATTGTAACGCGGAATTCAACGAAGGCGGAAGAAGCAAGGAAAAGATGGAACGTCAGATGGCTAGCTGTGGAGGAAGGGAAGGCGATGGCGGCTAGATCACAAGTTAAGAAAAGGAGGAAATATTGGGAAAAGAGTGGGAAGAGAAGGATAAGCTGTGAATGGCAGGGGTTGTGGTTGTGTGGTGTGGGGTGGACTCAAGACTGCAAGGTGCGGCGAAGGCGGGAGAGGTGCTCCAGCCAGAGACTCGAGACGGAGGGGGGAGGAGGTCGTTGGGGGTATTCCACAGAAGTTGCCGTGCTCGAAAACTTTTCAGAGATCTGGATCCCATCTGGAGCTTCGATCTTGTCCGTACTCAAGATGAACGGTCAGATCGCCGCCAATTATACGCACAGGGCAGGAATGCACTTTCGCCTGACCCAGCGTGCGGAGATCTCCTGTGTTTCGAGAGAAGAAATATGTGACGTGGCAGCAACAAATCAACGTCACAGCGCCGCCATCATAAGTAAAGGCGTGGGGCAGCTTGCAGAAAAACTAGGGGTCTCGGAGGTGTCTCCGCTCCCGCCCTGTAGGAGTTGTATTCCACACCAGCAAAACAGATATTTGCAACCCTCCATTGTGCCGACCAATTGAGCATTTTCCGCCCCCGTTCCGACGCCACTTCCTCCAATTAGGAAAGCTAGGGCACCTTGCTACAAAATAATTATAACTCCGCCCTACATAAATAGACGTATATATCTTGAGCTACAATGTTACAACAGAACCTTATATTACTCCACAACGGAACCCCCTCTAGCATAGGCAAGTTGTGTTCATGTGTACCCAACTTCTCTATGCCTTAACACTCATGACTTCACGCTGCTCAAATACAACTCTAGGAGGCTGCCCATCAGATATTGCTGCCCATACGGTTGTGTTTGGCTGCCAAAACAACGAGGACAACCATAAAGACAAGGAAGACAACCATGAAGGAAAGATCGTAACAGAAGAGAATCGGAGTATTTGGAAAGGGAAATGGGGTAGTTGGAAGCCAAGAAGCAACAAAGGAATAGAACGGAGCAGTGGCAGACACGAGGGAGGGGAAAGGTGGAGAGAGCGAAAGAGCAAAAATGAGATCCAAGGCCCTCTCTTGATGTTTTCTGCAGGTGCCAAACAGCAACTAGTGCTAGAATGACGGGCCACTCGGGACTGGGGAGGCATGAGAGCGTGCCTGGGAGACACGGAGGATCGTGGGGGTGAGAAAAGTAGGTCTCACCTGATGCGCCAAAGATGGCATACTGGCGGGAGCTGCGAGTGAAGCGGGCGGCGAGTAGCCACGCGAGGAGCAGAACGAGGATAACTCCAAAGACACATGCCACCACAATGCCCGCAATGTCACCAGACGTCATGCCTGCACAGCCGCACCACAGGAGAAGGAGCATTAACGAGAGGAGCGAGAAACAGCAGTCTTCCAGCGCATTTTCAGAACGCAAGGGGACCACGCCCACCCTCAAGGGCAAGCCAGCACAGGGACAAGCGGGGGGGCGAAAAAATCACAAGCAGGCATGACGTAAGCAGGCGTGGCACAAGCAGGCGTGGCACTAGAAGGCGTGGCACAAGCAGGCGTGGCACTAGCAGGCGTGGCATTAGCAGGCGTGGCACTAGCAGGCGTGGCACAAGCAGGCGTGGCATTAGCAGGCGTGGCACTAGCAGGCGTGGCACAAGCAGGCGTGGCACAAGCAGGCGTGGCACAAGCAGGCGTGGCACAAGCAGGCGTGGCACTAGCAGGCGTGGCACTAGCAGGCGTGGCACTAGCAGGCGTGAGTCAGTCACCTCGGTACACATATCCGTCAGGTGGCGTGCGCGTGATCTCATAGATCTCCACAGCGGACAGCAGCGGGGGCTTGGGCGAGTCCGGCATCGCAGGCAGCCACACCCGCAGCTCCCGCCCGTAGTTCTCCGAATACACCGAGTAATTGAAGAAGATCGGCAACGTAACCCCCGTAAAGGCAGACCCGTTAGCAGCCTGCATGATGTCAAACCCGTTCGGCCAGAGCTTCCCCTGCTGGTCTACAGTATCTTCGTCCTGGTGTTGCCCCCCATGGCCGAATATGCTGTCCTGGGATAGTTTAATGTCAAACCGCCTGTCGCCCTGCTTCACCCCCTCTTCGATCTCTGCAAAGTGCAGCCGCACGTAGAATAGGTGGAGGGGGTTCTGCGCATCTAATCGGTAGATAAACCCCGTCGCGCGGCCCACACCTGCCTCCCGGCCCACCCGGGCAGCCTGAAAGATTTGCGCGGGCAGCTCGTCGGGCAGCGACCCTGCATTTGTAATGGGCTGGGTAGTGGAGAGTGTGGAAAAATGCAGCGGCTGCAGCCCCCTGGTAGGGCCCCCTCCAGGAACACCCGGCTTGGTGTCATGAGCCCAGGTTCGGAACTCTGCGTCCTCAGCTTCGGTAACATCTGGGCCTCCAAAGTTGACTCGGAGCATGGCTGTAAGGATAGCATCGGTGCCGATGCTAGCTGCATCGTAAGACTCGGGCGGAACGGGGAGGAACTCGAGGGAATTCACCAAGGGAGTGGAGGCGGGAGCGCCGAGGAACGGCACAAAGCAGACGGAGATGGAGCCTTCTAACGCGTACACCAGGAAATCGGAGTAGAAAGCGGACGCTGGGAACTGCGGCTCGATCGCGGGGAGCGTGAGGGTCTTCACAAGCAGCCCGTTGATCTTGACGTCGAAGAAAGGAGGCGCTGACGCGCCGTCGTAGTTCCGGTACGCCACGCCGACCCGCACCAGGTACCGCGCGCCTGTGGTGAGCGGGACGTTGTAGCAGCCGCCGCCCTGGCCGGAGGCGCTGGCGGACGGGGGGAAGGCGCGCAGGGTGGGCTCGACGGGGGAGGAGAGGCGGGACTCGTTGCCTGGCGGAAGCTGCACCGCCTCCCCCCCGTCGAAGAACGCGTCCGCCAGCCACTCCACCCCGCCCACCACTGACGGCTGCGCCGCGCCGCAGTCAATGCGCACGGGGGCTGCGGGGGAAGAGGGGGAGGGGGAGGTGGGGGGGGGAGAGAGGGGGGGGAAGATTGCGGGAGGGGGAGGGATGGGGGAACGCGAAAGATTGCTGGGGCGAGAGGCGGAAAGGAAAGGGGAAAGCGGAGGGAGGTCGCAGCAGAGGAAGGTCGGGGATGGACGGGGAGGGATGCGTTGAAGGGAGCTGAGCTGACTAGTGACGGCTCCGAGGTGCCAGGGCAGCGACGAGGTAAGCGGTTCTCCTCTCAGGTGACTAGCCTATTTCTGAGGCGCCTAAAATTAGACTCCTCACGCATGCTGAGCGGCTCGCCTCTCAGGTGGACTGAAATGCCCGAGTGATAGAAACGGGGAGGCATGTAGCGTGTACGGGAATGTGGGACGATTTCGACGGAAACGGTGCGGTAAGGACGAAGGGAGGGTAAGGGCGTGAGAGAACGGCGGATGGGCGACAGCGTGAAGGGAGAACGGGTGCTGGAGGAGGGAAGGTTGACGGCACGGCTGACGGGACGGCTGACGGGATGGCTGACGGGACGGCTGGAGGGACGGCTGACGGGACGGCTGGAGGGACGAGCAGAGAGTGAGAGACTGAAGGGTAAGAGAACACGGACTGGTCATGCACTCACGCGCTCTAAGTTGGAAAGACACCAACGACAGTTTGAAAAGTCAATAACGAGTACGGACAAGAGGCGTTTCGTTACCAGCATCGAGGCCTCCCGTGGACGCGCAAACCGCGGAAATCGCCGCGAGCAGCGAGAGAGCGAGCAAGGACAGGGCTCCAGGCGACCGCTTCCAGGAAGCTTCCATTGTCACGGCCATGAGCCGCGACGTGCACACGGATCGACGAGAGCACACGGGTGGATGACAGTGCTCCAGGCGATGTCTAACAGATGTGCTAGGCAATGCACGCCGTTCTTGAACGAGTCGGCGCGCGGCGGATCGTCGGCGCGGCGGATAAACCTTCAGCTGAGTCAAGCCTAGCAGGCGGACAGTACGGCCAAGCAGCTTGAGCTGCCAGCGATAACGGATTTCGGTCCCAGCAGTACGAGGATTCAGCAGTACTGAAATAGGTTCGAAAAGCGGCTGCCTTGCCGTACACTATGTTGAAGCAGCGACTTGGATGGTCCTTACTTTGGGGGGAGGGAGGGGAGAGCAGGGGAGTGTGCGCGGGGTGTGCCTCGGCGCAGAAGTACGGGACAGACTGAGATGCGCGGGGCGCGGAAGCGAAGGGGGAGAAGTGATGGCCCCGCCCGCCTTTTCGGTTTTTGTGCCCTGACTGGTATTTGGCGCTGGTGAAAACCCAGGCAGGGCAGATGAAATCCGGATTGAGTCAATCAGCAAATCGCTAAACAGTAAGTGATGGTCGCACTGGAAGTCCTTTCCCCGATACTATCCATCGCATCAGCAACAGTTTCAGTACTTCTCGTCAATCTCAATCAAACACCATATAATAGGCATTCTATTGAAGGATGGTGCTCATAATCGATCAACTACGAAGGCTTATCAAGGAGGAAGGCAACAGCTGCTTCACCCAAGTCCCTACCATGCAGCCTGAAGTTATGGCAAGCACCCTCAATGATGCAGAGGCCATGGTTAGGAATGGCTGCATGGAACGAGCTTGCATCTTCGACTGGCACTACGGCGTCTTCGGATCCATGGATGGTATACACACTGTGTAACGGAGTAAGTGTAACAGGGTGAAAAAGAAAGCACATGGTATAAACATGCAAGAACTGGAAAGAGGTATGTCCACATACAAAAAAGAGAACACACATGATTGAAAATACCACTACTTGGCAAGTTGATTCAGAGTCGTAAATCGCTATGGGAGCATCACTCTTGTTACTACATCTACAGCAAGAATAACAAGCACCAATTATAGAGGAAAGAAACAGCATACCTGCAGGATGTTGGGATGGCGCGTGATGCGGCAGCCATGTCCGTTGCCAGACGCTCCTGAATGCTTTCTTTCGTCACAACGTAGGAGCCTATGCATGCGTGAGTGTGTGCAAGCGAGCAAGTGTGGATTTTGGGGAGCGCAGGGCAGGGTCAATAAGGATCGCGGGGAGCACAGCAACAATAGGCGATGCATTAAGCTGCAATGATCACGACTCAAGTACAGAAAGGAGGGGGGCACAACGAGCGGGAGAGCCAGCGAGCTAGTGCAAGCCAGGGAGCAGCAGGAGAGAGGTGAAGTGGTGTGGTACGCACCGTATTTATCCTGCTGGGTCAGCTGCCCTTCCTCCTCCAGCTTTGCCATTCCCTCCTCCCCAAAGCGCTCCCTGATGCCCCTTGAGAGGTCGTAGCGGCCACTCACGTTGATGACCTTGGGCACATCCTGGTACAAGGATGCATACAGCACCACACAGTTGCCACCTGACCAAGTGTGTGTGTGTGGGTGGGTGTGTGTGCGTGTGTGTGCGTGTGTGCGCATGAGTGCGTGCATGTGTGTGTGTGTAAAGAGAGAGAGAAGAGAGGATGTGTGAGAGAAAGAGATAGTAGGGGGCGCAGCTGGAAAGGGGAGAGAGATGAAGCACTAGTGAGTTTGTATGTTAAAAGAGCAACCATTCGCTAACCATGGCGCCCTAGCGAACAGAGAAGCCCCTATAAATCACACAAGCAGACCGAAACGGCTCTTTCTTTTGCCATGGCACCTTTGCTGTGCCCGATGACTGCCTCCACGTGCCTGCCCTGCGCCCTCACCCACTCCACCACGCACTGCAGGTCAGCCGCCTCGTGTCGGTAATTGCCCGTCGCAAACGCACCGTCGCTCTCCCTGGCGCACGGTGGATGGAGGAAAAACAGTGCGGACGGGGAAGAGCGGGCGATGAGCTGGGGGACACGTCACGGGCAAGGGACTGGAGCAGCGTGCAAGCTTCGTGTGCACAGACGAGCAGTGCGCGCGTGCGTGCTCACCCATTGCCCGAAAAGTCGAATCTCACAGTGGCGAATCCTGCGGCCAGAATGGCGTCCGACAGCTTCTGCACCGTCGAGCTCAGCTGCCCCGGGCACACGCACGCGGCATGGAGAATGACATGGTGGAAAGAGCGGGGGAGGAGAGGAGGGGGAAGGGGGGGGGGGGGGGGGGGAAGAGAGGGGGTTTAAGGCGTGGAGACGGATTTAGGGTTTGGGCGCAGGGAGCGAGATGAGGCGTCAGGGATGAGACGAGAGGGTGACGAGGGATCAGACCAGCTGCCTTTGAACATTCCGCGCGGCCGTCCTGTCCATTCTCGCCTTAGTGGAGTGGAACTTATGGCATATGACCACCACGTTGGCAATCCCGGTGTATTTGAGTGCACCAGAAAACACCTGGACCCAAGACGCATCTCGACTCAAAGCACGCCCGTCCTATCCGTACTCACCTTCGTGGACCGGAATCCATGGCATAAGACCACCACTTTGGCGCTCCCATCCGCTACGCTACTAACGCCGCCGCCGCCACTAGCCGTCCCGCGGGTCGGCGCTTCGGTGAGCGTCGCGTCGGGCTCCACGAGGAACGCGGAGAGGCGGTTGCCGTCGCCGTTGGTCACTGTGAAGCGGACGGCACGCTCCGGCACAGACGGCGTCGGCTGGGAGTCGGCAGCAGACATTGCGGCAGGAAACGCGGCAGAGGAGGACGGGGAGAGGGAGTAGGAGGAAGAGGAGGAGGAAGAGGAGGAGGAAGAGGAGGAGGAAGAGGAGGAGGAAGAGGAGGAGGAAGAGGGGGTGGTTGCGGCAATGCGAAACCGGCGGGAGCTGCGGCGTGGATTCGAGTGAGAGGAGGCAAGGCGATTAAGTTGAGGTGATGGATCAGCGGACGAGAAACCAGGGCGACGACCAGCGAACCAGTGGTGATTGTGACAAGGGGTGACAACAGGCGCGATGCTGCTGACGGTGGCGGAGGAAGGAGCTGGATCGGGCTTCAAGACGGTCGCTACGGGAGAGGCAAATGATGACAGAAGACTGGACATTAGGGAAGATCCCGGTGGGTTTCTTGATCGCAGCGGAATACGCGGAGAGGCGACGACGAAAATCAGGACCTGATCTTAGTGGGAGGGAAGGTAGCTAAAAAATATTGGCGCTGACTTTGTGCGAAGGGAGCCTTTGAGAACGTCATACACTTGTTGATGAAAAGCTGAGTGTAGCCCTAGGATGGAATTGCGTTCTGTAACGAGGATATGCGAGACTATTTCGCCAGCGGTCCTTGTGGCGTCGTCCACACGGGACGGATGGGCGAGAGAAACGATTGTCGATTGATTCTGACTGACCGGTTACCATGAGGAGACAATTGCCTGTGACAACTGGCGACTCGATTCGTCACATCGTAGTGCACTGGTCAATTGACTTCTTGTCCTCGCTTGTTCCTCCCCATCCACAACTGCCATATCCCAGAATCGTCGCAGGAATATCGCGTGCGACAGCATTTCCTGCACATCCTGACTGGACGTCCTTGTCGCAGCCATCATCACAATCGCTCACCGACCACTACAGTCCTCAAACGACCGGCTTGCCCATCGCATTTTATCCCCCAACTACCACTGTTCGTACGATGTTCTCTCCAGCTCCTCGTGATGCCGCGTCAGCACTGGCACTGTTTCCCACCCCAGACTCCCCACACATCGCCGGCACTGTTGCTGGCAGACGCACGTCGCATGGCATCGCACAGGCGACGCTGCGAGGGTGAGGCGAATTTGCTGCACTCCGCCGTGCCGTGCAGTTACCACCCGAATCGCGTCATGCCGTCATCGTCAATCCGAGCCGACGCGCGAGAGCGAAACCCAGAGCCAAGCAGTGGGACCGACGAAAAACGAAAACTTCTGCCCTGATGGTAGGAAGCTCAACAGCGGGCGACTCGCTGGCAGAATCTGTGGTGGACGACGCAGAGCAGCGCGGAAAACGTTTTGTTTTGCAACCAACGATTTTAGCACGCTCCTCGCTCTGCACATTTTCATTCGGTTCTGCGGCCCAACGCAGCCCACTTTCCAGCACCACCAGCACAGCCCAGCCCAACCAATCCCTGCCCTGCCCTGACCTGACCTAGCATTCTGCCCACCACCACCTACCAGCCAGCCATCCCCACCCCAACCCAGCCCATCTGGACACCATGCATTTTTGACAGGAAACTCCAACGCCAGGCGGTTTAGGTGCATTCAGAACGTTTCATTACGGCACAGATAGGTTTTTTCTCTCGTTCCGTGAAACCCCTGGCGAGGCATCGCATCCTTCTGGGCATCGCGCACTGCGTGCTGCTCCACAATACTCCACTGTTCCTCTCAACCTACTGACTCGCGCAGCCTCTCTCCATCCACCCTCACTTGCCGCCTCGGCTCGGCTCTCCCTCGCCTCCTCTCCCGTGACCCATCTCATCCCGACGCTCAACTCGAATTGCCTGCTTATTGGGCCCCAACAACAAATGGTCCCTCGTATGGACCATGCCCCTTCATTCCCTCATCTCCATTCTACTAGTCACCATCACTGCTCTGCATTCCCATCCGTCCTTTCAAGCCATAGCTCCCCTCGCCAGCCAGCCATGTTCCTAGACTCCGAGCGTCCGCTCTTCTCCTCACCTCCTCCCAGTGCCTGCTCACCGCCGCGCATGCCGATATCCCCGCCATTAGATGCCTCGATGTCCGCGTCAGCACCAATGATGATGGGCCACATGTCCCCCCCGTCGTTTTACGACGGGCAATTCGACTCGTCCTACGGTGGCCCGTGTCCTGCGGGGTTGCCGCTGGCCAGTTCCCCTTCCCCCCCGCTGTTAGACTCTCCTCCACCCCCCCACCCGATGCACTATTACGCGCAGCCGCGCCCCCCGATGCACCTTCCGCCAGGCGCGCACAACGGCATGGCGCAAATGCTTCCGCAAATACCGCACCATCTCCCCCCGAGCGCGCACGAGATGGCAGCCGCGCAGGGGATGCCGCCGCTCCTACCGCCGTCGGCGCAGCAGCTGCAAGGAGCGCCCGGGTACGGCGGCGGGGACCTATGCGACTTGGAGGACCCCGCGTACTATTCGACGCTACTATACCGCCCGGACCAGCAAGTCGTCGTGCTGACGTCACGGATTAAGGTGCGTCTCGCGCCACCTTTCTTCCTCTCCCTCGCCGACTCGACTCTTACCGTGTACGTACTCGCCCGTTCGTCCTCGGCGCTCCAACTGGGCCGCGCGTAAACACACTCGACGGCTCGTCCTGCACTTGTGCATTCGCCTGCGCTTCTCATATCGTGGACATTTCCGTTTCCCTTCTCGCTCCCTCGCCCGCCCGCGCGCGCGTTTTTCTGCTCTCTCCTCAATCTCTCCTCCTCCGTCTCTCTCGTTCCCCTCCCGCGTGCGACGCCGTGCGACGTCGCAGGACAAGGTGTCGGCCGTGGAGAAGACGCGGTGGCTGGACCAGCAGCTGTCGTACCGCCAGTGCCCCTACCCCATCCGACACATCGAGTTCACCCACGCCGGGGATGCCGGTGCGTTCCCCTTACCTCTCACCCACCCTGCCCGCCTGCCTGCTCGACCGCCTTCCTACCTGCCTGCCTGCCTGCTCGACCGCCTTCCTTCCTGCCTGCCTTCTCGTCTGTCTCTCCTTCGCGTTCTTCTGTCCCTCCGTTGCTGCGGCTGCTCTCAGTTCCCCTCCCAGTTCCCGCCCTTTCCGCCGTCCTCTCGCTTTCTTCAACCATCAATCTTCCCCCTCCACGCTTCTCATCCCCTTCGTCCTCCTTTCAGTCGTCGAATTCGTGTCCAACGCTGCGATGGCGAAGTCGCTGCAGCAGTCGTCGCTCAAGTGGGGTCGCCCTGCGTCGCAGGACGTCGCCACGCGGCCGTGCACGGAGGACGACATCCGCGCGCTCTTCTGGGTGGGCGTCGCGGCGCCCGGCGCGACGAGCGCGTCGCTCATGGAGCTGCTGCCGCAAGTCCGACAGGTCAGTCGCGCGCAAGGGGCGGGCAGCGCGCAGCGCGCAGCGGGCCGCACACGCCGAGCGCCGAGGGGAGGGTGCGGGGGTGGGGGGGAGGAGAGAGGGGGTGGGAAGCAGTAGTGGTCCTTCGCGTATGTTTCGCAGGTTCCTTATATCTCGACCAAGGTGCCCGAGCGACTTACGCCTCTCCCCTTCTTCCTGCCTTCTCTCCTCCCCGCCCTTGTTCCCACGCAACCCTTCATTCCCTTCATTCCCTTCATTCCCTTCATTCCCTTCATTCCCATCTCCAGGCGTTGCAGCAGTACGGCGAAGTGAGAGGCGAGTACGCCCCGCACCCGTCCTCGCCGGACGTCAACACCCCGCCGCACCTGCGCGCGCCCCCGCCCTCCATGCTCAAGCTCTACTTCGCCCCCTCCGGCCGCCGCCGCCTGCCGCCCTCGATCCACGTGTCGCGGCCTGATAGGTGAGCTGACGCGGCAGTGGCGAGATTTCCGTGAGAGCGTCTGCGCATTTGCAGGGGAGGGCTGCTGGGGAGAGGATTGCAGGAGACACATGCTAGGTGCAGGGTGCTTCTGTTGGTACTGCAGCGTACTTAGTGTTTGAAACCGCCATCCCTTCGTTAATCTCTCTGTTTGTAACGCCACGGATACTAGTACCAAGCGCACGCCATCTCACTCGTTTGCTCACTTCCCATCCTCCTATTCCGACTTTCTGTCCGCCATCCACCTCACCAGGCCCAAGGGTTTCCCCCCAGTGGTGGCTCGAGTGTTCACCCCGCACGGGCACGGCCCTCTGTCAGTCAAGTGCGTTGACTTCGGCCCCTTCCACTCCGAATACGGCTGCCCTGACTGCTGTAGCCGCCATTTCAACGGCTGGGGCGCTTAGCCAGCGTTGGGCTCGCGGTAGCGGCAGCAGCAGCGGAAGCAGCAGCAGCAGCAGCAGCCAAGTGACCAGGAATGGCAGCAGCTGCCATGGCATTAGGATGCTTCCGACATCAGTTTGCAGAAGCTCGTTCGATTCAACCCGCACTGCACTGACCAGCGACACCACCACCCCTAGGGTGCAATCAGGGATGAAATCCATTGATCTACGTACAGGAGGGAGTATGGGGAGAGAGATGCTGTTAGCTGGCTTCTATTTACCACTAACACATGCACCGGCTGCTATACTGGGAAGCTGCAAAGTCCTCTTCTGCTGCCAGCTTCTATACTGGTAGTTAGCTGCAAAGGATAGAGTAGCTAGCGATGCCATGCCACGGCGAGTAGGGTTGAGCATCACCACAGTATGGTTGGCACAATGTGGTGTGCGGGTATGGCTATAAATGTAGCTACCAGCTCACACATTGCACTGTATGTGCTCGGCAAGCACTTCATGTTTTCCTATTGCTAGGTCTATTTCCTAAATAATATTATGTAGGGTACAGAACTTGCTGTGGAACGTCGGGGATGCCTTATCTGCGTTTTTGTCTAAAACTAATTCACAGTCTGGACTGTCGAGAAGAAAAACTGAACAAGTGTGGAATAGAGAGAGAGAACAAGAGTATGAGTGTTGTACCCTCTAAGAGGTGACCCTATACAGTTTATACAAATATGAGTTATACATATGTCTGACACACCCCACAGACTGCATAGGGGCAAATCCTGGACAAGCAGCTTAGGGCGGCACTACTAGTCCAGCCACTGAGACAAGGGTCTAAAGACCAGTCAAAAGGAGAACAGGCAAGACAAGAACAAGACCAGGGCGGCACTACTAGTCCAGCCACTGGGAGAGGACACAAGTCCAGTCTGAGTACATATATAGATATATATAGGACAGTACAAAGTCAAGGTCCTAGCAAGTGGGAGGCTACAGGTGTCAGAAACCCAGTCACTAACCACTGGGTTAAAAGGGCTTGTTGAATAGCGGGTAAGTGCGCCCATAGCCCCCCAGGCTCTGCACCTGTGGCCCTTCCCCGAGAATCTCAAGGGCAACCCCAGCGGGTCACTCAACAACAGGAACTAGACCGAGCTGTACACAATGCCGCTTGTTGGGCTGATAAAAGCCCTTAGGATCTTTCCAGAGACTAAGTCCCAGTTGTAAAATGAGACTTGAGTAGTGCAGCGGAAGTTGAGGCAGTTGAACCCTTGTACTAGTATATGAGAACAAGTGATTGACTAAAGAAACAAGCATACAGCAATATATAGAAGATAAGGAAGCAGTTGTAGAATACAGTTACAGGAACGGTTTATCGAGTCACACAGCGACTCGATTGCCGCTTCGGTTACCATCCGTGCAGTTGTAACGGTCAGTCGCAACCTCCAGTTGCGACCCTTCGAGTCTTTTCGCATTCTTTGTCCGCCCCCTCGTGCAACCTCCGTTGACTCGCGTGCTCCCCTGTAATCTTCCTCGAGTACAGTGTTATACTTCAGAAACGCTTAAGTCTTTTGAGATGTTTCCAACACCGCTGATGATCTTTAGACGCAGCGAGGAGGAGTGTGGGGCACGGCGGAGCCGGCCCTCGACGCAAGGCGTGCACGGTGGCGCAGTCGAGGGAGGAAGGGCGGGGAGCGACGCAGGGAGACCTAAGACAAGGCCGTGCTGGGACATGTGACGCAGACGAGGGAGAGCAGGGTGACCTAAGCGGTGGTGCCAGAGAAGGGACGGGTGAGTGAGGGAACGACACGAGCAAGCTGCAGCAACCTGGGAGGACGCACCAACCGGAGGGGAAGCGGTGTCTAGGGTAAACAGACCGGACACCGGGTCCCGGGGGAACGTCGCAAGGGGGGAACCTAAGACAGCCTCAGAACAGACAGCGAACCGCTCGTGCCCGGGGAACGTGGTGGTGACGCCGAGGTCCTGGAGACAGCCGACACCAACCAGGTTCCTCGAGAATGAGGGAACGTGGAGGCCTGTAAGGGAGCCCGAGGGAACTGCTGGACAGGGAAGGGACGTAGAACTGCGAGCGACGACAGGACCCGCAGAGGGGTCAGCAAGAGAGACAACAGCAGGCGTAGCAAGCGGCGTGAGCGCGGAACGGTCGCGGAAGAAGCAGGTAGAAGCACCGGAGTCGAGAGTAAAGGTCAGCGCAGCAGTGGCGGGGGCAGGGAACGGAGCCGATGCAGAGACGAGGCTAGACAAACTAGGCAGTCCTACGCCTGACGCAATAAGGGAGGCTAGGCTACACAACGGTGCAACACCTAAACTAGAGATCACAGGGTAATAAGATCCAGCAACACTAGCAGCGTCAGAATACAAGGCATGCAAAGCAGCACCTATCTGATCCACGCCCTGGCGGAGCAGGCGGTGCCAGTCAGGGAGGTCCGGGGCCGGGCCAAAGCGACGACGAAACAGATCGTCAAGGCGGCGGAAACAGCGGGCAGTCGGATGCGGGCGGCGGCACAGAGTGCCGCGAAGGGGCCCGGTCTGAAGCTGGTACTGACAGGTCACAGCACCGGAGCCGCTGGTAGACGCCAAGCTGCGCGGGACGCCACCACTGCCACCACCTCCGGAGGTGCCGGGCCAACCAGGCGGGAGGCGAGCCCACTGCTGCGGGGGCTGCGGCTGGGACGGCGGCTGCGGCGCGGGCTGCTCCTGCTGTGGCTGGGGCTGCTGCTCCTGACCACCAATGCTAGTCCCCGCAGACGGACTACGCTCACGACCACCACCACCACCACCTGCGCCACCACCCCTACCACCCTGGCGACCACGGGCACCGCGGAGCGAGCGCTGCTGCGGGTGGACCGCAGCAGCCGTCTCAGTGAGGGGGGTCGCCGTGGCTACCGCAGCCGAAACGTCAGTGAACGTGCACTGGGAGGGGGCACAGCCGTGAAAGATAGAGACTGCCGGCGCACCGCTCGACTGAGCGATAGTGCGCTGGCGAGTCTCGATCTCGGTGAGGGTGTCGACAAAGGCAGTGAGGGTGAGGTCAGTCGGGTGCAGGCTAAGGCGAGCACTAGCGAGGCGGTCTGGCAGGCGCATGGCGATAAAATAGAGCGTCATGCAAAAAGAGGGGGGGAGCGCAGTAAGCTGGGCAGCAGTGCTGGCAGTGCGATAGCGGGTCTCTAGGGCACGAAGGTGAGCGGCAAAGTCTGCGACAGTAGGGAAGACTGCAAGGTCTGGGAACAGCATCGGGAAAAGCAAGCGGCCAGCAGAAGCAGACGCGGGTGTGGAATAGCAGGCAATAACGGCGTCTAAGTAAGCTTTGGCCGTATCAACAGTAGCAAAGCGCGAGCGCTCAGAGACAGGGAGGGCGTGGCTAATAGCAACCTGAGCGACTGCATCGCGGGAGTCCCAGACAGCGCAGGCAAGTGCAGCAGTAGAGAAGGCCTCACGGTCATCAGAGGAGGGGTCAATAGGGAGGGGAGCAGGTGCAGGGGGGCGGGGGAGCAAACCGTCGACATGGACAACCAAAGAGTGGCCATCCTGGCGCTGACCTGTAAGGTGGCGGCGGAGGTCAGAGAGCCAGGCGGCGAAGTCAACCGCGTGACCCTCGGCGTCCAGTCGGAGTACGAAATCAGCCATCGTGGAGGGTCAGCGGCACCGCTCCACTGCGTCACAGGAACACAGCTCCGCAGGAACACAACAGCAGCGCCCTCCAGCACAGCGGTCGCAAAGGCGCCCCAGCACGGGCGAGCAGGCACGAAGAGGGGCCAGACAGGTGCGGCAGGGCCAGGAGGTGCGGCAGGGCTAGGAGGCGCGTCAGGGCCAGGCAGGCGCGACGGGCCATGCAGGGGCGGCGGGGCCAGGAGGCGCGACCGGGCCAGGCAGCGCGACGGGGCCAGGCAGGCGCGGCGGAGCCAGGCAGGCGCGGCGGGGCCAGGAGGCTCGGCAGGGCCAGGCAGGCGCGTCAGGGCCAGGTAGGCGCGGCGGGGCCAGGCAGGCGTGGCGGCGCCAGGCAGGGGCGGCGGGGCCAGGAGGCGCGGCGGGGCCAGGAGGCGCGGCAGGGCCAGGCAGGCGCGGCGGGGCCAGGTAGGCGCGGCGGGGCCAGGCAGGCGCGGCGGGGCCAGGCAGGCGTGGCGGGGCCAGGCAGGGGCGGCGGGGCCAGGAGGCGTGGCAGGGCCAGGGAGGCGCGACGGGGCTAGGCATCGCGGTAGGGCCAGGCAGGCGCGGCGGATGCTAGGAGGCACGAGGGGCCCAGGAGGGGCGCGGCGGGCTAGGAGGCGCGACAGGGGCCCAGGAGGGGCGCGACGGGCTAGGAGGTGCTACAGGGGCTCAGGAGGGGCGCGACGAGCTAGGAGGCACATGGTGTTAAAATTATATAAGTTATAATTTAATATAGGCTTGGTAGGTTGTTACTGAACCTTTCTGTAGAGGGTACAAACCCCTCCTTGTACTCCTCTCTCTTCCTAGTCGATACTCTTCTTTCTCGTCAACTTCTCTTCCCCGCTCCTAGATCGACTTTCCTCACGCCATTCCATGGCGTCCTTCCTAGTATCCTAGCTAAGCTAGTGTCCTAACTTTAGGGACCTAGCCTCCTAAGTTTCTGAGACATGGGGCCCAGGAGAGGTGCCACGGGGCCTAGGAGGCACGAGAGGCCCAGGAGGGGCACGACGGTCTAGGAGGCGCGACAGAGGCCCAGGAGGGGCGCAACAGGCTAGGGGGCACGACGGGGGCCCAGGAGGGGCGCGACCAGGGCTGACTTTTCAAAAAAATGCACTCTGATTTTACCCCCAAAAAAAATCCGCAAGTCTGGAGGACCATTTTCCAGATTTTGCCTACTCTGAAATCTCAGTATCCAAAAGTTGACTAGTCTGAGATACCCAGGGTTCAAAATGTCGAATCAGAGTCGACGCGTCTAAGTTGACGGAAAAATAAGGGCCGTAAATGATTACGTAGATTGACGGAGTCTGTACACACACACGTGGCCCCTTATCTAATGTGGCTCTGGGTGGGAACCCGACACATGTTCAATCCCCCAAGTTCAAGTTCCCCCACAAAGTTCTCCACTTCCGAGTGTGCAAGTATGATGACGTGCAAAACTTCGTGCGGGCTGGTTCATTTCCCCCATAAATTTCATAAATTCATGGGATGTTAACGCAAATATTCCGAAGCACTCGCGTTCTGCAAATGCCGAGGCCGAGCTTTTTGTGACGTATCACAAAGCCGACATTGTGAAGGCGTGTTCTTACGCGACACGTTGTCGGGCAACTTCGCTTCATTCAAGATTTTTCCCGTCAGATTCGCCAGTCAATTACGAATTGACACGAGTCAGAGTGTTCCTTATGTCACGTAGACACACGCCCTGAAGCACGTCGAATCGAAAGTCTGTCTACAAGCTGTCCTTGCAAGTGTGTGATTGGTTGTCGAGGGACTTGTGTCAGCCCCTGAGAGAACTTCGAAACGAAGAAGAAGAAAAAAAAGCAAAAGGGCTGTGGAAAGAATGTCCCCTAAAAATGGAAGACTTAGCCGATTTTCGTGGGTAGGTGGGGGTGTGAGAGGGGTGCCTCCTGAGCAGGACTCCAACAAATTTTATGGGTTGCTGGGTGTGCGAAGGA